TTTCCAGTCATAGTTCTGCCTATTGAATGATCTGAAATAGCAGCTTGCTTCCCACTGATGGGAAATGTGTCAGTGTTAAATGGAGCAAAGCAATATTAACACCACTAACAGCATAAAAATAGCTGATAAATGTGTGTGCTTAATTTTTTTGTGTAGTCAGCTGCTTCCCTTGAAGATATTTCCAACTTTTCAAATATGAAAATTGTGTTCTTATTAAAATATGCTCCATCATCCTTAATGATGCTTACATAATAACCACAAGTATACAAAATTGTTATTGCGATGGAAGAAGAAAAATCACACTCTTGTACCCAAAGGTAAGGCGTAAGGCAGCGGGGCTGTACAAATATCCCCCTCCTATTCTCCTTTCCCCTTTGGCTTGTAAGCAGACTGTTTGAACTCTCAAGAGATAAAATTAAATATAGTTTGGTGTTTCATGTCTGCCACATTACATCTGAGTGCAATAAGAGCTCTTTCAGAAAACTCATTCAGCTGGAACCTTTGAGTGAAGTAACTATAACAAATGTTGCTGAACTTGATGGATGTCATTTTAAAAATGACTTTTCAGAGCCTGTTATTTTTCTTATTAAATAGGAAAGCACAGTTCTCTGAAATTTTGGAAGTTGCTATCTACTTGCGAAAGAAAACATGAAAGGGATATATGACAGATCCAGTTGGAAAGCTGCAATCATTTCATCCATATGGAAGAAACAGGACGGTTTTACAGTGCTCAGAATCTTTTCTTTTTCAAGTTTATTATTTTTCCTGCTACTACAGTATAGGAACAATAATAGCCATGCACCTTCATAACAGCATGGCTGGGAAATTCCGGACATATGGCAACCCTACCAGAATGGTGTGCCAAATCGGAAAACAGGTTCCCGTACTTACCTCCAGCCCACTATGATACAGTTGGTTTAAGGAGATAGAGTGGAATTGCAATATAAAGGCCAGCGACTTTCTGTCTGTACTTATAATTATATGTACCAAATGATGTAGCTGTGATTTTCATAACATTATGAAATCAGTTAATCTTGATTAATCTCAGAACTCAGCGTGTTGCCTCAGACTTCATAGCTGACTTCCAATCCTTATGCTGATGAAGGAACGTTTTGAATATATGGAAGTGCCACCGATGGGGCAACATATTCTTGTTGTCAGGATGATAGCTGTCAGTTTGAGCTTCCATACTGAATCAACACCAACAGAGGAAATGGAGGGAAATGCTAGCTTAAGACTGGTCTTCAGCCATTCGCCTGAGAAGAAGAAAATCTTTACTTCAACATGTGGGAGGCAAATGGAAATAGTTCGCCTTAAAAATAGTAAATGAAGTTGGACTTTGTATTAAACACATGCCTTTTGTGGACAGATGAAGGGAGATATTTGCTTTAAAAGAAGACCAGAACGGAGCATTGAGATAAAGAGATGAAAGCCTTGCAGTAGAAAGAGGAATGGGAAACAAGTGTTTATCAAAATTCTGGGGAGGCAAGAGGTGGTGGTGGGGAACACCCATCTGCTCTCAGAATTGTTAATAAATTCTATATTTTGTTTTAATGGCAAATATAAACATGAATGAGCAAATGTGTAAGCTTTGCCTGCAGTTTCTACATCGAGGCAGCACACAATAGGGCTAAACTAGTAATAAAGGAGAATTATATTTCAGTAAAGTCTTTAACAGCCTATCATTTCACACTCTGTTGATGCTTCTCAAGTAAGACAGGTGTTACTTTTCAAAAGGGACTCAGACTTCAATTACTTATTTTAATGACTTGCACTCCCATACAGTGACATAGACAAGGAACTACTACCATAAAAGAAATCATTGGGGGAGGCTGCTGCTCAGTCTATGCAGGATGTACGGTATGTTCAATCCTCAGCATCTCCTGGGAGGCTGAAGATCTTGGCTGCAGTTCTGGAAAGCTGCTACTAATCAGTGTAGATTAGGGGTTGCTAATTTGGTGCCTGTGGATGCACAGGCACTCATAGAGACCTTCTGAGGTGCCCAAAGGGTCCTATCTTGTTTCCAGCTGAAACTAGGATTGAATAAAGAATTTATTGAGGCCAATAATATAGGATGTGGCTTGTGCTTGTTTGCAGTGTGGGTGTGGTTGCCTGTGAGTTTCTTCAGTTTGCAAATGTGCCCCCAGGCCCCCAGAGATTGGCAAACCCTGCTGCAGACAATACTGTGCTAGATTAACCAATGGTGTGACTCAGTATAAGGTTTCTTACTATTCTACTGCGAGGTAAATGGCCCATAGCCTTGTCCACTTTGCTTAGCATTCTCTGTTCAGGACACGCAAAATTCTTGCAACATATGATAACTGCCAATGTCTCTTCTGCCACATAATTACAATTCCTACAGATCCTGCCATCACAAATCCGTGGGCACATTTCATGCTGGTTTCTTTCAATACACTGAGAAGCAGTGCATAGTATTGCATTTCTGCATGTGTCCCAGTATTGCTAAACCAGTGGTTATAGGAACTGTCATGCAAGTGGCAGTGATATATGGAATCAATAAATCCCCTTGGGCAATCTGCACGTAAAATGTTGAAATGTGCATTGACAATACTAGGCGTACTATTGTGATTGCATCAGCAATCATATCTTAGTAATGAGGTTTGCCTAAGGTAGGCTAGAATAGTTAGTATACTGTTACCCAATATGGGCCTTTACAACAGGGTAGATTATAAATCCAGTCAATCAATCAGACTGCAATATCACTTGGGAAAGGTTTATTACTAGGCAGCTGCCTTTAAATATCCATGGTGTTAATTTTATGTGTAAGGACTTTTTTAAAATGTTGTGTTATTTTGTTTTATTCTAATAATATGCTGTGCCCTATCTCATGTCAATGACAGAGTTGCCTTTAAAACTTCAGTAATGAAAGGAAATGTGATTGCCAGTGGGGCACTGTGGCTCACAAAAGCTGCAGAGGCTGGGAATTTTATAAGTTACTGCATTCCACTAGCCACAAGACCACAGCCACTTCTTTACAAAACTTGCACCTCTCTCTAGATGGGGAGGGGGGAGTGATAGAAATGGAAAATGAAGTGGCATCAATTTAAAGCACTGTTTTACTTAAGTAGCACAACATATGAGGAAGTAGCTTTTTGCTTTTTTTTTACATCATTGTCTTGGAAAAGGTAATTTGATGTAAATGCACTAGTTGAAATTGGGTTGAATATCAAACCACTAAAATCAATGAAATCAAGTTTGGTCATGGCAGGTTAATTTCAATGGAAACTTAAGTTCTACTGATTTCAATGGGCATTATCAGAGGGGTGAAAATGTGAGGGAGTTCAGGTGAAATTCCCAAATTATGTGAATTCCTAAACTAATTATGAGGTTCCTCAACGGATGTTTGGAAATTGCATTAAAACATTTGATACAAGCAAGCTGAAAGGGTGCAGAATCTGATAAAAATCAAATGAGCAGATATGAAGAAAGTCCAGTTTTGCACACCTGTGCCTGAACAAGTTCTCAGTAGTAGATCTCTTGGTATATCGGGTTCTCTCTCTCTCTCTCTCTCTCTCTGTGTGTGTGTGTGTGTGTGTGTGTGTCTCCGAGTCCATTTTCATAGAATAATGTTTCAAACAAAGGAAATTTTGTTTAGACTTCCTTGCAAGAATGACTTTCCTGTTCCAGCCTTTACTGGAAAATGAGGGGTTTTCCAATTCACCGGCATGCTGATGTATTTCCTTTCCATAATTTCCATGCAGGTTACTTCCATGATTCCTGCTAATTGTAGTTACAGGTGCCAGGAATTATTTAACTCACCAAGACAATGTTCAGAAGAAGGTGATCACGTATTCTATTTTATTCTCTCTCTCTCTGCCTTCTTTCTCTATTAACTCATTGTATTGAAAAGAAGAAATTCATGGGAGCAAGTCCTTTCCTGCACACTCTGGGACTGCAAAAAGGATCAGATAAAGAAATGTTACAGCACTTGGTTCCCTTGCCTCTCACAACTGCAACCCAGATAGACTCTTTATGCCATGCTACCTCTGAGAATGCACAGAGACCAGGTCAAGTAAAGGTCACAGAGTTGGGTTGCAGGAGCATTTGGCACCTTATCAATTATTTGCACAACAGCCACCAGTGAAGACAAGCCTACAAGTCTATGTGCTTGCAGGGAGCAGGTTTGCATGCAAATTCTCCTGTCCACACATGCAATGTCAGCATGTGGTTGAAACAAGAGGGCATCTAAGGAATCTCCTTTCATGTCTTTGGGTTTTGGTTCTGTGCCCTAGACACGGTGATTCCCAGCCTGCCAAAAATGTGCATGGTGCACTGGCATAGACTTTTCATGACCTTCTTCAATTATGCTACATTCCAAGAGGCAGGCGAAAAGGCATGTCACACAAAACTCCTTATTTTGCAAGTAGACAACTCATCAGAAATAAGTCTTTGCACGCAAGTGGGGGAAGTGACACTATTGTTTTTAGAAGTCTATGATATGGCTAATTTGGGGGTGCTGGTTAAGGGATGGGGCTTGTGGATTTTATTACTTTATCCAAGTACCTCCTTTAGCAGAGGTGCTTTACGTATTCACAAAGCAGATGGGGACACCTGTGGGGTTTAGACCTTGGCTTTAGGACCCAGCCCCTATTATAATCTCTCTCTCTCTTTTGACAGCAGGTGAGCTACTGTTTGCCAAGTTATTTTAGAAGCTGTTTTCCTTAGAATTTTCCCTGGCTCTGCTCTTTCATTTTATGTTTTTAGTCCGACATTCCCTCACTGTATGCTTTCGGGTGGTTTTATCCAGCATTTATCTGTCCTGCAGACAATTTTAATCACACTTTTGTAGGCCCCTGGGGAATGTTTTCCATGAAAGGTGAAGGTAAGAAATGTTCTACATACATAGCCCATGCTGCTCATTTCTTCTTCTGTGTAATTCGAGAACTGGTGAGCAACCCACTAGTCCTTGGTGAGAAAACAACAGGTAGGAAGGGCTTGTGTGTGTTGCTATCTAACTCCTACAGTTAGCTCTTTCTAGCTCTGACTAGAAAGCCTGAGAGAGAGAAGTTCTCCAGCTTCTCCAACAGGGCTCCTTGGAGCGGGAGGGTCATCCTGAGGACACCTGAGAGCGACCCGTCGGACTCCGAAGCCCCGACCGCCCTGCGCGCCAAGCGACCCGCCTCTCCCCGCCTCTCCTCTCCCGCCTCCTCCTCCTCCTCCTCTTCTCCCCGAGGTGGAGGAACAGAGAGACGTCAGGCCGGACCGGAGATTAGCAGTCGCTTTAAGTGGATTAGAAAGCAGCCGAGTTTGGGAGAAGCGAGCGGAGAGTGAGCGGAGCAGGCGCCGCTTCCCCCCCTCAGGCTTCAGTCCCTCTCTCGTTCGCTTTCTCTCTCGAACTGAGGCGCCCCGCCATGCCCCAGACAGTGGCTCTGAGCGGCCCTTCGCCGTGGGGCTTCCGGCTGGTCGGGGGCAAGGACTTCAGCACCCCGCTGACCATTTCCAGGGTAAGTCTCCCGAGGGAGAAACCGCGTCCCTTTCGTTTTCTTCGGGGGGGGGGGGGGACACGGGCTGGCTGCTGGCTGCAGCCTTGAGAAGCGCCTCAGGCACCGGCCGGCGCGAGGCTGTCACCATGCCCTGACCCGCGTTGGGCTCGGCTGGGCTGCCTTCTGAGGGGACGACGACCTGCGCGCCGCGAGGCGAGGAACTCGGTCAGTTTGGGCAGCGCGTGAGGCGAGGGAAACCAGCAAGCCTTAGCGCCATTTGGGCTCTCAACCGACGGGGGGTGCCTCCCGGGCGCCGCAGCCTCTGAGGCAACTGAGTCGCGGCGGGGAGCAGCAGCCGCAGCAGCAGCAGCAACAAAGGCGGCATTCCAGGGACGCCAAGCGCTCCGTGGAGCATCGCTCCCCGCAGAGGCACTTGTTACGCGCTTCGAGTTCCGCTCGTCGCTGCTGGATGCGGGAGGGTGGCATGGCTTGTGAAAACTTAAGACGACGGAGGAGGCAGGATCAAGACCCGCCTTCAGGGGTGCTGAGGCAGGAGGCTGGTTTTGCCCAGCTGCTTTGGTTTCAAAACTCAGTGGGTTTCAAAACTCAGGAGTTTCCTCTCTGGTGCTGTAAGTGGAGAAGAGGGATATTATTTGGGATCGGAGTGTGGCTAAGCAAAGCTGGGTAGCGACTTAGATTTAAAGGAGAAGGAGAACCTGGAACCATGGATCTTTAAAAACAAGAGCGGGCTGCTGGGAGGAGCAGAAAAAGATGTTCTCCTTTAACAGCGATGGGCTGCTGCTTCTAACTAGCGGGCTGGGTCGCCTGAGATCTGTTCCAGGGAAGCAAGTGAAAGAGTTTGCACCAAGTGGTCTGACTGGGTGTTGTGTTTGGCCCACCAATGAATGCAGAGCGTCAGCGCAGAGCAGGGAATCTCCAGCCTTTGAAGCGACTGGGTTTATCTGCTGTTTCTCTCTTTTCTGCTTGGGTCTCAGCATTTTCGAGCGCTGTGTAGGCGAGGCAATCCTTGGACCAGTTATTTATCAGGAATGGCTCTCCTGAAATTATACCAGCCGGAGGCCCCATTAGCTAAAGTGGTGCTTCAGGTTAAGAACAGTTTCAGGTTAAGAACGGACCTCCGGAACGAATTAAGTACTTAACCCGAGGTACCACTGTATATGTACACTTCTTGAGCTTCACTAAGGAAGTGAATGTACCACAGGGAAACAGTGGATTTAAGAAATGAGGAAACTGTTTCCAACAGGAGCCCAGTAACTGGCAAGGTGTCCTTCTCTCTTGGAGTTTTTGAAGTGCCTACTTCAAAACATGCCTCTAACAGAAACCATATATTTAGATACTAGAGAGCATCTGATTCTTTCCCTCTCCCCCATCCAGCCACACAATGACTGCAATCCTATACATGCTTTCTTGGAAGTAAACCCCTTTCAATACATTTCTGAGTAAACAATGCATAGGCTTTGGATGCAAATGTCAACTCAAAATGCTGTAAATATTTTCAGTGGTTCAAATTTGAAATAAATAAATAGAGACCCATGCAAATTTGTGGATGCAGTTTTCGCTTTCGCTCTTACATTTGTCCTGTTCACATATACACCACTCACAAACCAAATGGCCTGCTTGCATGTTTTCCTATAGCCATCTGGTTGGCCTCTGTGACACTAGGATGCTGGACTGGGTGGGCCTAATCCATCAGGCTCTACTTATGTTCCTACATAAAAATGCAAAGAGTAACCCCCCCTTCAACCAGCACCCTTCAGGCACTCCTCCCACCCACTCCAGCTAATTAGTTCCCTCTTTGACTCTTTCTGCAAACCATTCCTGGTGCCTACCGTAATGGTATTTTAAAAGCAGTGAGTATGTATTTGTTGTCAGTTTTCAAGGGAAAATGTAACAGGGCTTGCTGGGAGAAGAAAGAAAAGACACAGCCAGGCTAAGCAATACCTGTCAGACTGAGTTTTCCACAGATATTAAGGAAGCTAAAAAGTAAGATATGAATTGCTAGATCAGACCAGGGTTCATATAAATATGCGATATGAAAATTTGCGAGCTGATGGGGGATATCTATCATTTCTGCCCAGGATCCAGCATTCCGTACTTCTAAATATAGAGTCTCTATTGAGCTACTGTAGTTGCCAGCCACTGACCAACTTTTGCCCCCTGAACTGAACTGTCGCGATGTTAAAGAAGTATGGGGATCATAGGTGCCAGAAATATGCCTTAGTTTTATTGTAGAGGCCACATGTGAGTTCCTAGGCATATTGGCCTGAAGATGAGATGAGAGAGGAACAGAACACGAATGACATTTCTGAGAGCTGAAAATTTCAGGTAGGAGGAGACTGAAGCTGGCTCTCAGCCAGATCTAATGAGAAGAAAAGCTCAAGGGAGGTCTTCAAAGCAAGAAGCTTTTAGACACCTGAACTTATCTCAGAGGTGATTCCACTGTGCTGGAGGATAGAAATTCATGTGATAAGACCAGCAGCAGGTGAGGTCAACAGAGCTGGGGCTAATGAGAACAAAAGGGCAGCTTGGAGCACTTTGAAACGGAATGAGCCATAGAATGATAGAATTGTAGAGATGGAAGATATCATGAGGGTCATCTAGTCCAACCCCCTGCAATGCCAGTATCTTTTGTCCAATGTGGAGCTCAAACCCATGACCCAGAGATTAAGAGTCTCCTGCTCTACTGACTGAGCTATCCATCATGAGCCATCTTGCCAGTCAGTGATCAACAGGACCTGCCAGTCCTGTTAATCAGATCAAAGCTTGTTCAACTTCTGCATGGAGGGATGCTCTGTTACTATTTAGGAGGGTGCCAAATGGTTGGGTAGTTGTAAAGATTTTTCTTGTAGGCCTACTGCAAGCTATGCGAGGAACCTGGGCAGACTTTACATTGTGGTGGCTATAGTCATGGCTGTAGTCATGCCATCTTTTTCAAATCCTAGCACTTTTTGTTGTTGCTTTTTTCCCCAAGGAGAAAAACAACAGTGCTTTGGAATACAAAACAAATCATCTGTTCAAAATAACAGAGCTTTATAAAGTCTCTTCCCCACCTCAGAAAGGGAATCAGTACAATAATCTCATGTGATAAGAAAACAATTGAGGTACTATTTCCTATTCACCTGGAAACACAAAGCACATGACATGTGACCACCTGGCCAGCAGCTTTCCAGTGTCGCACTAGATTCCGCCTGCAGCAACACTTTTGAAATCTTGTTTTCATAAACTGAGTTTCAGGGAGAGGAGACAGTGCAGAATTTGGCACGTTGTGTGGTACAGGCTTGTTAATACAAAGTTAACCTTGCTATGATTTAACCCAATGGTTAGTAATTAAAGAGTAGGGCTGCATTTTGCCTTTCAGAGAGGCCTTTTGAAGCAACTTCACCGGAGATTATGACCATTTTAGTAGTTAATAAAAATTAACTTTGAATCCTCCTCCCCCAACAACAAAATGTTTACACTGCTAAAGCTAAGCTATTCAACACATCCCAAGCTCTTTTCCTAATATAGAACATCAGCTACTGTCCCAGAGACATAGGGAACATTTAATCTCAAATTGAAATATAAAGTAATCCTACAATAAGTTGTTACCCATTTCTTCTTCAGGCTGCCTTGAAAAATGGATATGTAAAAGTCTTATATATATTACAAAGCAGTGAGGATTTTTTTTTAGTATTAAAACAGCATTTTATCACAAAAATACAGAACTTGGTAAATGAGTTAGCAAACATGGTACTATGCTATTTAGACCATTCCATTTTGGGTATTTGTTGTGTCAAAAATACTGACCTCCTTTGTCTTTTCATTGCAAAAGTTTGTGAACTTTGAATCTTGGGTGTGTCTTAAAGGACTGAACATTTTTCTTTGAAGTCAAATAGATAACTTGCCTTTTTTATACCACTTTTGTAGCCATTTTGTGTTTGGGATAGGTATACATAATGGCTCATAAAGCTGTCACATACATTGCAAGGAGAAACAGCTGCTAAAAGGTGTTTCCCCCAATGCAGCCTGCAAAATTCATTCTCTGTAACTGCATTCAGTCTGGAAGAAGTCGCTGCAGTAAATGGGAATCACATCCAGCAATCCTAAAACAAAATGTCAAAGACAGGCAAATGAATAACTTTTCAAAACTATTCTATTTGTAATTGTTACAGTCAATTTGAATATATTTGGCTGCAAAACTCTATATATTCTTCTTAATTTAGATAGGTTTTCCCCAAATCCCATTATTTTAATGGGGGGGATTTTAATAACACAGACCTTGAGTAGTAGCAGGCAAGGAACATGTGACAAGGTACTGATGAGGAGTGAGTAAAATAATACAGACATCTGTTAAACAAGCACATAATAGATATGTCCAGAGGGAAAGCAATTGGTCTCTAGGCATCAACACTTTTTGTTTATTTAAGAAATGTTTGCTAGCTCTCTGCCACCCTTTGGTCTTAATGGAATTTATCATATCCAGAGAACCACCAGATAACCTATTCTTAAGCCGTTTTAAGTGTGATCCTGTTCAGGTTCACTCAGAAATTAGTCTCACTGTGTTGTGAGGTTTATTCCCCAACAAATGTGCATTGGACCACAGCCTTACAGAGCAATCCTATAAATGTTTATTCAGAATTAAGCCCCACTAACCAGGCACTGTGAAAATTTTGGGCCAGTGGGCACATCTGGAATTTGGACAAAGGGCTAGTCACAAAGTTGCTGCCATTGGGGCATGGTGTCAGGGGCGTAGAGTGGGTAGCTGGAGCCTGGGGCGGGGCATGTGTTGCATCCCCCTGTGTTAGGAACTGGCTGGATGAGGAAGAGTGGTGGGATACACCCAACCAAGAGCCCCGCAGGGAAGGCACAGAAGAAGAGGATTTCACGCCTGGGGACTGGTGGTGGGACTCTGGTCTCACCTCAGAGGAGGGGAGAAGCTGGGATGTGCTAGAAGTAGGGTGCTTGAGGGGATAGCAAAGAGAGGACAGGGAGAGGAGGTTCCCAGTTTTGATGTAGGTGCTGATAGTGATGACAGAGGGGAGGTAGAACCTGCAATTCTCCCTCAAGGCCACTCTGACAGCTTTTCTGCTGACAGCTTGCTATGCCCCACCGAACAACTGCTTTGTTAAGACAGGATTGCCCTCTGTGTGTTCATTGTTCAAGTGTTTCTCTCTCTTTCTCTGACTTACGAACAACCTGCTCTCCCTGTCGGCTCCCTGACACCCTGGTGGACTGGGCAGCAATCAGTCCATTTGCTGGCCAGCATCTAATCAAGGGAGTCTCTCCTTGCAAACTAGCCCCAACCTGGGAGCAGAAATAAGGCAGAAAACGTGAAGCCAATAGCAATGCTGTGTCGCCTTGACCTCCTGTCCTTGCAGCTAGGTGCTCTGGGCAACACACGTGGCTCTAGCATTGCTTTCCCACCTTCCTCTTCCTCCCTGCCTCTTCTGTGGGTGGTGGTGGCACAAGTGCAGCTGTCCCTCTGCCAGCCATGAGGAGGCACTGCCACTGCCCAGCACCAAAGGCCTGGCCCAGGTGTGGCTTGCCTCCCTACAGCTCTGGCCTCAATGTGGGAGCCTGTTGTGGAGGTGCCTGGTTGTGCCCCCTCATAAATTTGCGCCCGGGGCCATGGCCTCCCTGGTTCCACCCCCACTACATGACATAGCACAAACATGGCTGTCATGGCGGCATAGTGTAATGGCTGCTTCATCAAAGAAAGCACAAAAAGAGACAGAACCATAAAATAATGCAGGTTTGTCCCTTTCCCATCAATGGGGGAAATGCGCCTACATCAGCCACTGCCAGAGGAGATGGTAGGATGAATGTCCAATCCTGGCATCCATGAAATGTGATCATGTTTAAGGGAGCTGAACTAATGCAAACAGGAGCTGAGCAGGAAGTCCAAGCAGTCTCTCATGTGGATTTTTGAGGGAATATTTATTGAAACCTTCCATGGGTATCATAAGATGTATTGGGCACACTGATGCCTATGAGCACCACATTGGCAACCCTAAAGGGAGATGTTTCCAGCTCATGAATATCACAGTCATTTGTGTTTAGGTTGGGAACATGTACCAACAACTATCCATGTCATAAAACGTTACAGAGATATACACTAGAGCAAATGTAGCTTTTGAGTGTTAATTTGAAGCAAGGAAAATATTGGTTGGCTGGCATCCATCTGTCTTGGGAGACAATGGAAAAGTGCCCTTTCAGGGGTGAAGTCAAACTGTTGGAGAATTACAGCGCCTGCTATGGTTGTAGAGACCACAAAAGAAGCCTTTATGTCTTATGGCTGGAATATGCTTATAGATCTACTTGTGTACTATCATGTAATCCATGTGTATAATTTAATCATGCAATACAGCATGGGTGCTGTTTCTCAACAAAAATGGTGTAGCTGCATTAATGGTTATTATTTCCTCTATTTAACAATGGTTGGCTCCTGATAAATTTCTAGTTTTGGGATTTACTGTAGAAAATTCAGTTCTATTTCTTAAGTAGCAATGTGCGGGTCTTTATGGCTCAGTTTTAAATTTCCCTGCTTTTGAACATCATTATGAACTACCCTTAACTTATGCACTTAATAGTGCTTTTCCCCCACAGAAAACTAAGATAATCTTGACTTTGTGCATAAAATGAATTACTTTAATTAATCAGCCCCACTGATAATCTGGAATAGGAAATCAGACGGAAGGAATGATTCATGTTGTTCCATTCCTTCAAGGTCTGACCTTGGTGGAAGCTTAACAAAATAAACCTCACACACCCTAAACATTTTCAGGCTTTGCCAAGCTGGACAAAACACATTCAGCCTAATGGAGGGGATTTACAGAACTTTTACAATGTTAGTGTAATGACATCAGTATTTTAAAAACAAAGTTTAAACTATTGTTCTCCTGACACAGGTGCTCCAAGTTTCTGTGGAAATAATATGCAAACATCAAGGTTCCCACTTTGAACCAAGAAACTATTTCATCCATTTCTCAAGTAGACTGTCATGATTTGACATTTTCAACAGAAAAACAACCAAAAACATTTTAAAATAGAAAGTGTCACTGACTCCAAACCTTGTACCTGAAATAAAATGGGAATAGGATCAGGTTCCCAGATTATAACAGTGATGCTGCTAACACATAAGTATATTTACAATATGTAAATTTAATAGCTTGGTATAGTAATCAGATCAGTCCAGCTATTATGCTTATATTTATTCAAAAGAAGCAAAAACAACAACATCCAGTTTTAAAAGGATTGTTTTCATACTCAACCATTTGTTGTGCAAAAGCTCTAAAAGGGAATAAACAGAGGGCAATGAATTGAATTACAGAAATGGCACTAAGGGATAAAAATAATAATATATTATTGCCAGTGATAAATTGATACACAAAGAATATAAATATATTTATATTGTTAGAGACATCTGAGTGAGTGCATCAAGAGGTCCTCATTATATGATTCACAAATGAGGGAGATTTGTTTAATTTAATTAGATAAGCACAATAGCTTTATTGGGCTGGGTGCATGTGGTACCTCTTGGGCTCTCTTTAAAAATATTTTCTCAGCACTGGGTGGCTAAGTCATGCACCCACCTTGACACAGGGTAGGCACTCCAATAGGAATAGAGATTTCTGTAAGTAAGGGTCTCCTGCTTTGGCTTTTGAGCTTGGCAGATGGGTTTGAAAAGTTCTTGTAACAAGTTCTCAGCTCCATTGAACTCCTCATCCCCTTGGTTCATGATCTTTTTGCTCCTAGGACCTTTTGCTCCTAGAACAGACTCATTCCTGCTAGGCTCATTTGTGCCCTTTGTCTTGTGGAAGCTCTTGGGCTGAATTAGCAACTTTGCTTCTCCTGAGTCTGTACTGTTACTCTGCTTTACTAAAGGTCACCTCCTTACTTGCAAGTGTGAGCACCTGTGGTTGAGTTTGGAGGGGGGGAGCCAGGAGACTTTGTGCTGATTAGAACAGATAAAGCACTCCTGGTGCCATTGTTGTCTGTTGTCACAGTCACTAGGGAGGCCCACTAGGGCTCATCCTTGAATAGGAGAAGGCCCACTGAGAAAGGAAAATGTTCTACATTTGTGCATTCCCTAACAGTCAGGGGCGGCCAATGCATGGAGCCAAGTGAGGTGATTGTCTCAGGTGGCAAGGTACCAGGGCCAGTAGATCCCAATGTTGATCTTTCTCTCTTTCCCCCAATCTGTTCCTAATGCTGACCTTCACTCACTCCTTCACTGGCAGGGAGCGGGGTAGCTCCATTCTGGGGTTGCCTGAGGTGCTGAAATGTCTTGGGCCAGCACTGGTTACAGCCCTCATACTTGCCACTGGCCCTCAAAAACACCAGCCCTATGTCTCCACTTCCTATCTTTCCCATAACCTTTGGTACAAAATGTGTGACATGATGTCACTGAGCTGAGAGTCTCTTTATCCATTCTCCAATTGATTCCCTTGGCTTTCGAGGGTTGGGATTGGCACATTATATGCTTTGTACTGTTAAATGTTTGCGGGGGAGGAGGGAGAAAGAGCTGTAAGGTTGCTGCTTTTGGCAACAGCCATATGATTCCTGTAACTGAAACATATAATTCTACCATTAGAGGATGACATGGATGGGGGAAGCCAAGCACTGTGGTTCTCTGCTTCCCTTTTCCTCACTCGTGAGATAACTCAGCTCTTCTTGGCTGGCAACAAGATTCATAACTAAAGCCATACATTTTAGCAGCAGGCTCTTGCAATCTCTGGAGAGGGATAGCTTTATACTGTGAATGTGAAGGAAATGTGTCAGTCTCCAGGGGACAGAGCTGAGCACTCCACACATCAGCAGATGGAAGCAGCCCTCACAAAGGCACTCATTGATCCTGTTCTCCCACATTCATGGCTAGAAGAGAAGTTGTGGGTAGTAGCGTTCAGAAGGTTGGAGGGATAATGGGATTACAAGACCTTATAAAAAAACAAAAACACAACCCTAACTCTTGCCTTTCCTTTACGAAGCTCGCACAATTAACTGGAAATATTTAGTGTTCCTTTCCCACTCATTGGGTTGGATTCAAAGAAGAGCAAGCAGAACTCCACTCATGCAGTAAGGCTTTCCTGGCTGCTTCCACCATTGTACCCGCATGCACCCTGCAAAAAGACATTCGTGGAAGTTGAGGGACCCTTTGGAACAGCATAGGGTGTTTGCAAACAAACCAGTATAAAATACCAGCCATGCATTGTACTGAAATATGATTTACTCAGAACTCTTTTATATATTTTGCAAGAAAAAAAAGGCAGGGAGAAAAATTACAGCAATAATTAGCACAGAAAATCATATTATCATTGACAGCCAAACTAGATGCAGTACCATTCTCAAAACTAGCAATTGTTGAAGGGCTTTTTAACAGTAAACAGCATGTGTAGGAGGGTTTGATCTATGCTGGAACCCTAAAGGGATAGTAGGTGGCTCTAACCTTTTGCCCCTCATTGTGGTTACAATCCAGATTGGGTACCCTGTGTCTGCTAACTGACACAGAGTAAACTCTTTCTGATTCATAGTTCAGGCTCTAACACTATGCTAAACCAGAGAAAATGCAAACAATATATCTTACCTTCGGAGGTCATGACTTCATTTCCCTCATGTGTCAACCCAACCATAGTAATCATGCAAACAGATGAAAAGCAAGGAACTAGGCTGGAGGATGCCTGGCATCCCTTTCAGTCCTGCAATGAAAGCAGAAATGAAGGTACCATTGTCTGTTAAATAGCCCTGCTTTCTTGGCCTCTGCAAAATACAATAGAGAACTTTCAAGTTCAGAAACTTTTCTAGTCTAGACAAAACAAATAACAAACTGAAACATCCAAAGGAAGGTGTCTGTCGTGCACTGACTCACTTCATTCAGAATTATGTAAGTTCATCTTAAGTCTTCCTTTGGCTTGCATATGTTTTCCACCCCCATACTTGCATGATTGTCAGTTGCAACTCATCTGCTTCTTGCCAAAACTGCCTGTGGCAATTGTAATCAATAACAGTCAGTGATATTTGCAATCCACTAAAACAAGCTCTTCTGTGTTGTTTTAATGAAACCCAGTTAATGAATCTTCTTAAAAGCGTATGCTTATTTTAATACAGTGGTACCTCGGGTTAAGAGCTTAATTCGTTCTGGAGGTCCGTTCTTAACCTGAAACTGTTCTTAACCTGAAGCACCACTGTAGCTAATGGGGCCTGCCGCTGTGCCACCGGAGCATGATTTCTGGTTTCATCCTGAAGCAAAGTTCTTAACCCGAGGTACTATTTCTGGGTTAGCGGAGTCTGTAACTTGAAGCGTCTGTAACCTGAAGCATCTGTAACCCAAGGTACCACTGTACAGTTTTTGTCTGGTCTCCTTCTTAAGGAACTGCTAGTTAGGGACAATTCTAAACTTAAACCATTTTATGGGACATTTTAGTGTTTGTGCTTTGGTTAATAAAAATATGTTGCTACACAGGTGTTCTTTTTTATGCTTTTTAAAAATCTAATCCTTTAAAAGTCAGCAATAAGCTATTTCATCAACTTCCTCTCACCACCATCTCAGTTCTGAAAGAAACTGGCCTATAAGGGGTTTAATAAAAGGCAATGGCTAGAAGGGGCAGACTGAATGTTTAGGTTTCATGACACAGCATCTGTGTAATATTGTTAAGTTATGTAATACAGCATCTGGATAGAAAAGTGACTCTGTCAGTACATACTTCCAGGGTTGCTGCATGGGAGTGTTTTTTATGAAATAGAAAGCTTGAGAAGCTGAATAAATACCAGCTGCTGAGGTGTATATAAAGTAGGAATATAACAGACAACCCAAAACTATAGCAGATTAGATAGCAGCCGAATTAGCTAGGGGAGTTCCAAAGCCTGATTTATTAATTTTTTTAAAAAAGCATTAAGTGCCTTCCTAAATGTAAGGAGTGAGGGAGCTATTAAAGAGGGGAGAGTTCCAGAGGTGGTGGGCCATCACAGAAAAGGACCTGTGGAGTATTGTCAGCTTAGGAGTACCTGAAGGTATGGTTAGAAAGGCTTTTTAATCTTGGGCAGGATTATAGTCCTAACCTGACACAGTTCCAATGGACAATTCTGCAGTGCCAATCTTGCATACGTTTGGGTGCTGATGTTAATGGGGGAGGGAAAGAAAGAGAGATGAGGGGAATGGCCTGAAAGACAAGGAAGGAGCATGCCTTCTGTGGATTGAGGGGTTTGCTAAATTCAAACAGAAAACGGTGGGTTTTTGTTTTGTGGCTCGGACCCTACCTCTGTTTTATACTTAATTTTGTTTTGTGATGGCACCCTCAATCATTTGTAAAAAAAAACACCACTCATCTAACCTAAAGAAAACAGGTTTCCAATCTTACATCATTCATGTGCTATGCAATTCGTTTCTGAAAAGCCTGCTTCAGAGAATTCTGCTCTTTTATTGTTTGTTGTTTATTTGTTCTGTTACTTTAAATTATTGCTGGCTTTCTGTGAATTAACAGAAAAGTCATATATAGTTACAGCAAGCTATTAACTAAAAATGACTATGGTGAAAGTTTTGTCATCTATGATCCATATTAAGCAGCAAGTGCTTATTTATTTGTAAGAAAATCATTCTCAGCTTATTTAAAAGAAGCTACACATCTCTTCAGGAAACAGAATTATGGTCATTGCAATAAGAATGATCTCTTAACGCAGCAAGATATAATTAACCAAAACTCCAGAGAAATGTGTCATTAGATAACACTGGGGAAACCCAGCCAGATGGGTGGGGTATAAATAATAAAATTCTTCTTCTTCTTCTTCTTCTTCTTCTTACCATAGTAGTCTAGCTTTACATGGCAATTGTGCTTGGAAGCAACAACAGATGCTGGGAATGACTGTGGAGAAAGCTAGAGGGTAAACATGGAGTTAAATTATTCACAAATTCATTGGCCACTAATCTACTTCCATTATATCATAATAGATTAATCTTGGGCACGAAGACTATTTGTTCTGATACCCAGTGGTTCAAGGAAAACTTCATTTCATTTCGGAGTGTGGAATCCACTCCCCATTTTTCTTTCAAATTCAAACTACAAATTCAAATTACAGGATGTGTCATTAGCCTCCCTCAAAGGGAGTTACAAGCTTTGCAAGATTTTGGCATTAATACAAAAACAGCAGGAGGGGAAGCGATAAAGATTTAATAAACAGCATGATATTTCATGCATGACTGGAAAGTGACAGGTAATCTGAACAGCAGTCAGGGAAAGTTGTTGTGGAAGATAACACCCTGGCAGAAGGCTATTAGAATAGTTGCCACCATGTTGACTGTTTCTTTCAATTATAGAAACAATTTCTCATTTGTCCCTTGAACTGAATGAGCTGATCCAAAGCATGTGACAAAACAGTGAACCTTGGTAATAAAAATGGGGGTTTCCAAGGGCCAAATGCATTTGTAGTCCCCTCACAGTATAAGAGTCAGCTTGGATTTATCTAGCTTCTGAATGAGTCTCAGTTGTAACATTTCCCCCCAGAATATCACTAATAAGTTAGCAAGGTGCAAGTTATATCCCTGTGGCTGTTGTCTGGTGCTGGAATGCCCAACCTGAACATCTACATACTCTGTCTTCAGCTACATATTGGACAGAAAATATGCTTTATCACCTCTCTGCTAGTACACACCTCCCCCATAATGCAACATTGGCTTCCCACCGCTCTATGGTCCCTATTCACCAGGCTATGGAACTGTGTGGGAGTACAAATGCTGCACTGGTGGACTCTTGTATGGCAGCCGCCGGATGCTCTCACAAACAAGGATCATGAATACATGGAGATGGAAGTCTCTACTGGATCAAAGAGCATGAGAACATTGTTGGGTGAAACCTAATTCAGTACAGTGAAATCTCAAAAATCCAGCAGAAGCAGATTCCATAAGCATCCTTAACACTCTTTATTGACTCCAGTGATTCTCCAGTGATATTTGGCCATACAATCATGGACTGGGTTTCAAGCTTCTAACCTGAACTATTGTCAATGGAGACTAAGTTCACTGAGCTGTTTAACTCGAAATAGGCATGATTCTGGCCACATAATATATGGCACTCTAAAGAGGAAAGAGAAAGAAATAAGCCAATACATTTTAACCTTAGTTACAATCCTTATGAGCTGGAAATCGTTGCAGAGAGACTTTGGCCGTTTGTAATGGATCAGCAGTTTTCCTGTGGGTTTCTCTGTTCTTTTCTGCTGGCTCGCTCAGTTCAAAGCTGCTTGCTCAGGGAAGCTCTAAAAACAGTGTGCTACCAGTTTCTACGCTGCTTTCTTCACTCTCACAACCCCCCAAAAAATAAAAGTCAATAAATGTCCTGGATCTGCTTTTTCTCCACATACAGTTTACTTTGAGGAACAAATCTGAGTCGCTCACTATTAAAACTTCATAGTAATTAAACTTTTCTTTCTCTCATGCAGATTAATCCTGGAAGTAAAGCCGCCCTTGCCAGCCTTTGCCCAGGTGATGTCATCTTGTCAATTAATGGTGAGAGCACAGAAAACATGACACATCTAGAAGCACAAAACAAGATCAAAGCTTGTCTGGATCAGCTGACCCTATCTGTGAACAGGTAAACTATCTGTGCTTGCCTCTTCATGCTGACGCGCTACATCTGTGCACATTCACCAAAATGTATGTAGTGAACCTGTGGCTAGACAGTGGAATTATGCATCTGCTTGCACCTCACTCACAAATGTGCCATGTGTAGTATTCTAAATGTTGGAGGGTACATTCCTATATCCATTGAGTGGTATTCAAGCAGGTTTTACTCAAGAGTAGACCCATTAAAATAAATGAACATGATAGGCCCATTAATTTTAATAGGTCCACACTGAGTAAGACTTAGTTGAATACTGCCCATTCTCTCAAAATGTTCAACTTTTTACTTTCTAGGAGTAAAGATGACCCTTTTTAAAAAGTCAGCATGCATAGGGATGTGTGCATAGACATATCAGAATGTATGAAGCAACTGACAGAGCACAATCAGTCGGTCATTTCCTACCTAATGTTCACGATACACACTTGTGGATTGTAAAATGGATTTTTATCACACTACATTTTCAAGTGCAACCTGTCCTTCTCCCACCCCGAGGAGTAGCCCTCAGGGCAAATGAGCAACCTGCCCCAACAAGGATTGGAAGTGAAGCTGAGGCCTTTTGAGCCTCTGCCTCCTAGACTCTTCCCATCTTTGGAGAACTAGAGCAGATCCACACCACACATTTAAATCACATTCAATGCACATTTTAAAGTGTGTGAATTCTAGCAAAGAATCATGGGAATTGTCAGGGCTTTTTTTCTAGAAAGAGGTGTTAGAACTTGCTGAGCACCCACACAAAGCTGTTGGGCTTTTTATTTTAGGGGGAACAGCCACTTTCGGCAACCCTGCTGCTGACTTCCACCTCCGGCACACAGCCACAGTTTCAATCACTGTGCCAACACAATCACCACAGCAACCCAGTTGTCACACTGCATGGCCACAACCCTAAAGGGCTGCTGGAATGCACCTAAGAGGTGCTGGAACTCAGTTCTGGCAAGTTCCAGCTGAAAAAAGCCCTGGAAAATGTAGTCTTTTAAGGGTGATAGGAACTATAGCTCTGTGAGGGGGAAACTACACTTGCCAGAATTCTTTGGGGGATGCCATGTGTTTTAAATGTATGTTGAATGTGCTTTAAATGTATAGTGTGGATCTGCTCCAAGTATTTTAAAGCTCCAGTTGCTGCCCTTAAATATTTGCCGCCTGAGGTATCTACCTCACTCTGTCTCTTGGTAGGACTGGCTCTGTAGAAATGTAGAAAAGATCAGAGCGGTAGTAGGCGGAGAATATTATAGGGAAGCGTCTCAACTCTTATGATAGCTTAGCAATAGAACACACTCAGTAGAGAAGCTTTAAAATGCAAACCGAATTATCATCAGTTTCAGTGAATTTAAGTATTGCAAGTCTACAGATATGCTAGATGATATCTGGGGCCCTGTTTCTTGCTATCATTCTCATATTGTAAGACAATGAGCTATGTGGGGGTGTTTATCTCTAGTGCAGCAGGTCTCCAATAACTGTGATTGAATGAGACCACATTGTTCAGAGACAACATGATGTAATGCTTTCAACACCACATGTGTTTTCACATAACTTTAACTAGCATATTTCTGCACCAAAATAAACTCTATTGTGGCTAAAGTAGATTTCTGCCATTTTGATAAAAGCTTAGCTGAACCAGGGAAATGAGTTTTGTAAACATTTGTGCACCCCTCAGAAACTGCCTCCCATTTTGGCTTCATCCCACCACCACCGCCCTAGAAAGGATATAACAGCATTTGCCCTGGGGGAGGAATAACCCTTGCAATATCAGAGAACTGGGAGGACAGCTTCTAACATCTTTGCTCCATCTGCCTTCAGAACCAGTGAGAAAGTCTTGGCCTGTGAGGAACTAAAATCTAGCTGCTTAAGCAGCCATGTTTTCTAGGAGACCTCCAGCCGATTGGTAATCAGAACATCTGACATTTTTGCTACCCAGCGCCTCCTGCATTTGCACTGACCGGATGCCACTGAGTAGCTAAATCAGATGGGCTCTATGGCCCCAAGAAGTCATCACAATAATTACATGGTCTCTGAAAATTTTATCAATTATTGAAGGAGAAATTCATGGAGGACAAGACTATCAATGGCTACTAGCCATGATGGCTATGTTCTGCCGCCACTCTTGGAGTGCCTCTGAAAGCCAGTTGCTAGGAATCATGAGTGGGGAGAGTGCTATTGTGCTCAGGTCCTTCTTTGGAGCTTTTCATAGGCATCTAGTTGGCCACTGTGAGAACAGGATGCTGTACTTCATGGGCCATTGGCCTGATCCAGCAGACTCTTACATATTTAGGAAGACAAAGCCCAGTTAAAGTATTTTTTTTAAAGTGCTGAAGCAACCAAAGTTTGAGGGAACAATGGCTGCAAACGTAATTAAAACTGGAAAGTAGAGTTTGGGGGAGTGCACACATTCTCAGAAATGTGTGAGAATGAAAATTCAACATAGTTCTAATTTTGATCACAAATCTTTTGCTTTGTAATTCTCCAATTTGTTACTTTTCCGCAGTTCCTCACTACTGTACTCTGCTCTTTCTTGTAAGGATTTGATTACTGTCCTGGACCTACTAACATTACTGGATGATACAGGAGTTGGGGTTTCTTTTGTTCCTTTTACTTCTCCATGTCAGGTCATTGCTGCCTTTATGAATGCTTTATAAAGAATTTAAATCTAAAATATATTTGCCTCCAAAACTGAACAACTGCCTCTTTGTAAAAAGCAAGGTCTTTCCTAATGGGGAAACTCAATTTGTTTATTTTGTGCTTCAGCTAAAGCAACTACAGTAACATTTTTATTGATTCTGTTTTTAGACTGGACCAAATTAAACATAGGGGTAACGTGGGTTTTTTTATTTCTCCACTCAGCATTTAGCAATTTGTTGAATTCCTAACCATTCTGTCTGGCCAATAAAAGTTAGTCACTATTCAAGCCACATCCAGGTCTGTTTTGTCACTGAGAATGAGTCATCCTTGCATAGCAACGCTTCTCAAAAGAAATGGGAAGCTACCCTTCTGATAATTAATCTAGACCTCCCATATCCAATTAACATCCATTCCTTTAAAAAAAAAAACATATGTGTTTTATGTCCACAAAATTCCTGCATTGTGATGTTCAGACATCAGAAGTACAGAATGCAATTGCTTTCATTTTCCTACTTTCAGAAAAAAATATTGCATTCTATTACATAAAACGGATTTAGCATTTACACTGAGCTGACTTTTACTTGTTAGATGATTAGGAGAAATGTTCAGCTTACTGTTAGGAACTGGTATAACCTACAAATACCTTGCATTTCCCTCCAAAGTAAGCCCTGCTGAGTTCAACTGGACTTCAGCCTTGGCTGCATCATTGTAAAAAAATAATTTAAGGCCCAGTCTTCAGAAACTCTATTCAGTTTGGACCTCACTGAAGGAAATAAAACTTGCAAGTACTTAAGAGTTCAGTGATACACATTCCACAGCTTATAAACTGGGGGTTACTGTCTTAAGAGCATTAACAGTTAGCTGTCATTTATATTCTGTGATTCAAAAAATGATTTTTGAAGGATTCCTGTTTATGTTTTAATATAATAGCCTTCTGGAACCTAGTGGATGCCTCTTAATGAAGTACGTTGTTCTTCTTAGTACTTCACAAAACAGATATCATAGCTTCTCATTTTATATTTTTAAAATTCTGTTATTTCTTACCTTGGCAGACTTGAGGGACTTCAATGAGATTTGAGATATTAAGTTCCAGTGCCAATTGGAAGTATGATGCTTTGATTTTCCTTCAGGTTGGAAGGATGATTATATTTTTATTTTTTTTTTAAAAAGCCAGCCCTGTAGGCCAAATTCTCAGCTGGCATGTATTAGGATAGCTTAGTTGGTACTAAGATTTTCACTGATTGCATATGTACCCTTTAGGTTTAGATTCAAGCTAAACGTCTAAGAAAACACAGACAGGGAGGATGGCTGTTCTTAATAGTTTGGATAAGTAGTTCCTGTAGTTTTGAGACACTGTGTTTTCACACACATGCATTCCTATCAATGAATTATGTTTCTGCTTTCCTGTTTGTGTCCTTGACATGTTCTACTTTGTTTTCTTAATTTATTTTCTACCAGACAGGAGGGAGGGAGGGAGGGAGAAGAGAAGTGAAATAATAATAAAAAAACCACTTTCCTTATTTTCCATTTAGTGAGAGTTAAGAAAAAGCGCTGGGGGGGACTTCTGTAGACCAATTCAAATAGCCTAGTTTATGATTTTGTTTCTCTTTATATATGCTGAGTGAATCCTCATGGAATTTGTTGCTGCTCACTCTTTGCCAAATAAGGTTCCATGGATACCCAGCTATGGCCATGTGATTAATGGTCATGTCAAGAGAAAGGACATGTCTCAATGAACATCTTTCATCCTCTGGCAATTGTTTTTCCATCCACTGTCCTTCATTAAATGAATTATTCCCATTGTGATATGTAAGAATCGCCCCTCCCGCGGCCCCTCTTCATACTATGTTCAGCCAATGCCCTTTCACTCCCATTGGAAAGTTCAGTAGGGAAAATAGCAAAGTGACAGAATATTTCCATGTTACCAGTAAAATAAGGATTTTAGTTTTGAACAGTGGCTGGGTTAGACAACAGAATCATTGTTCTAATTTCAGAAGTGTGCCTTAGTTATCATTTTGATATATTTCCATATAATAAAATTCAATTTTATTTATTCATATATTCTGCTCTTCAAGGATTCTCAAAGAAGCTCGCTCTCTCTCTCTCCACCCAAACACACATTCATTTAAGTGTAAATGAAACTATAAACAATAAAGTTAGGAATAATGAGAACAGCACTGGAGGGAGAATACAAGCATAAAACAGACTTCAGACTAACAAATCTCAGAGACCTGCTGTATTCATGCATTATATTTAAAGGTGTAAATCTGAATGTGTGAAGTGGCCACAGGTAGAACACCCACTGACTTCAAAGCATAAGGATTAAGCCATAGATATGTGACTGTTTTGACTGAATAAGGGTAAGACAGTAGCCCCATCTGTTAAGATATGAGGCAGTGGAAAATTCTGACCAGTTCCAAACACGCCCTGCTTATGGAAGTGATTCATTTTGGTTACTGACATAGATGAGGAATTACCTAGACATCACCATGAAAGCTAGCAGATGGTAGGTCTAAAGTCCTTTTAGACGCAGGGGCAAAACGTCAAGGCAATACAGTAGTAAGGTGAGCTAGGAGTAGCACACATCAACCATTTTATGTGGGAGAAAGTAAGTGATGGGGGTAGGTGAAGTTTTAGCAGAGCAATTTAGGCTATAAATCAACTTATTTGCTTCTGTGTCTTCTTTGAGCCAGCGTAGAACATGGTTTCATTTATTACTCTGATGTGGCCAAAAGAGACTAAAATGTCAAGTTTATAGCAGATGTTTAAGGAAAGTTTTCTAACACGATCCTCTATGAATTCTGGTTCACAGAAATGTGATGTAAAGATATTTGCTGTTTAGCTGTTAATGATGCATTCAGGGGACTTTAAGAAAACATTTTCTTTAATAATTCTTCTTGCACGTCAGCTTTATGGACAACTGAAGCTGTTTTCTTCAGTAAGTAAAGAAAAGCATTCCAAACCAGTAAAGAATGCATGATATAAGGCAGAGAATTGAAACAATATGGGTTTAGGAATTGACCTTCCAAGTTTCCTTAGGCTGAAACTCTGAAGGGTACTAGTGAGCACAGTGGTCACATAATAATGATGTGTAGTGCGCAGAAGGAGTGCAGTATGTGAGGGCAGTGATTTGTCATTGGGATGAGTAGAGGGAATGCCGCACTGTGTGCTGTGTGCCCTTGCCAGCCCACTTCCTGGCAGAAGGAGCACAGGAGGCAGGAGCCAATTCCACTTCATGGCAGCTGAAAACCACAGGCCCAGTCCATTAATTTAGGCAGTGTGTTTGCAGCACATTTGGGTATAAAGCGAGGCTCCTTTGAAAGGGATGCCCTATATATGTTCGTTCTGTGCCGAGTATGGAAAGTGTTACTATGCATGACAGTCTCAAGTTTCCAAAGAAGGTGCCACTGAAAAAGTGAATCACACAATTTTCTTCTTGTAACTCCTCAAATAAACATGTGTGTGTGTTAGAAGTATGCAACTAATGATCCAAGGGCAATATAGGCAGCTATCAATCAACTATTTTAATTAAAACCTATTATTAGGAGAAAAAGAGATACTACCTTCTAAAAAGTTGATGGGCATTTCCAATAGTAAGCAGATTTGGACAAGCAATCTCAATAGTTCTGTGTATTCTTTTTAGCATGAAGGAACTCTTCCATATACATGTGGTTCTTCTCTGATGAGGACTAAGTTATGATGTGACCAATTTGCATCCCATTTTATATTGGACCAAGACTATGAGCTTAGGGTTTGTGAGTTGGATGCCCCATATGTGAAGGTACAGCTCTGCAGATGTATGTCCACCCCCCACCCCCCATTTTTCCAGGGCTGCTAAAGTGGGCAGAAAGGATCTCTGTGTCCACCCCCAATGATGTACAGTTGCCAACAGCCATACCTCATGATGGAATAGAATTAAGCTGAAGTAATGCATTTGTCTGGTGATTCAGAAGTGTCTGGTTGGAAGAACTTTCATGGTTGTTCTCCAGTGCTTTTTTTCACAGTGCTGTAAATCAGTAATATTTTTACCAAGAACTTTACAATCAAACTGAGGTGAATAATTGTCTCACTGTAGTTTGTTTCAGACAGCTGTATGGCCCAAAAATGAAACTCAGAAGCATTGTACTTGTTTTCCTTGGGCATTTTTGTAAACCACTGAATCAGATTGTTTTCCAGTTTTTCTAAGTAGAAATTTTGATGGGGAGAAAATGTGTCAGCTTTGGCCCTGGCAGCAACATTCACAGCTGTACAGATTCTTTGCAAGCCCAAAATCTAAATTTCTATAATACCCGTAATGTCTCTGCTGTTCTGGCTTTAAACCTAATTCTGAATACATTTACTGACTCCATTTATTTGAAGTTCTCCTTGATCACAGTAGAACTTGCTTCCAAATACTGTATGTCTGTTTAGAACTCAGTTGTGGGCATAAATTCTTCATGCAGCTGTGGAAGAGTTTATTTGTGTGTTTCATTGTAACTTTCATTGTGTCTATTTCCTGTCCTGCTTACTAGCAAGATTTATTTAAGGATTTTGATTATTTTAAAAACCACTTGCCGTTTGATTGCAATCAGAACACAAACACTGATTCTTGCCACAAGCAAATATCAAACTAATTGGTCTCATTCTGATGTAGCCTGAAACCATGGACTTAATTTGGGGGTAAACAAGCTTTGAGTTTCTGTGTTCCACATTCTAGACAAACTGGTTAGTTTTAGCTATGGTTTAGGGAAACAAGCCGACTTCAAATCATGGTTTATGATCCTGGATTTCTAAACCATTTGTTGTTGTCGTTTAGTCATTTAGTCATGTCCGACTCTTTGTGACCCCATGGACCAGAGCACACCATAGTTAAGGTTAATCATGTCTTTAGGTTCATGCCTAACTATAAATCACAAATAATTGAAAATGGAAGTGAAAGCTTCTTACCTCCTCATGGCCGCACCAGAGAGGGAGGAGGGCACTAGACCAAGGGTTGTACATATGACACTGAACCATAGTTTAGCATTACATTTGAACCAGATCAAATGGATGGATGGAAATATATACATACTGTCAGTCTAAAAGGAGAAAGTTACACACACACACACACACACACACACACACACACACACACACTTACACTTGCTTACCTACACCTACAAGGATACTTTCTTTTTGCAAATGCTGGCTGAAACCAAAACAGCAACTTGCAACTGATTATTTCATTTTTAAATGCCAACAATGATAATGCACTTGAGCAGTTTCTGTTCAATAAGATACATAAATGAAAATTCAACTGTGTTAGGCTTCACTCAAGAGGAGCTTAAAGCATCAGAACCCTTCCCATGGGTTTCAGTGGCTCTTCTTTTAGACTCAGCATTTTTCAAAGTTCTGAAGTTAAAGAAAAATCACATTAGTTTTGAAATAGAAGCCCCTCGGTAAAATTTCCTTGCTTAAGTTGCACATGTGTCCTACAACCTTTCTGCTTAATAAATGCCATCAATTCACGTTAAATACAACTGTAGTGTTGGGCAGATTGGGACTGAAATCTATATAAAAGATTCTGGGCTACAACAGTAAAGCTGTACCTACCAGGAACAAGAAGATCCATATTTTCCAAAGTGACATGCATAGGTCTCCTAAGACTGAATGGAAAGTTACACGTTATACACAGAAAGATTCCAGTTTTTCCCTAGATTCACTTTCATGGCCAAAATGAGAAATACAGAGGCTTGGATCCAGACAAGTGCCAATGGAAGGAGGTGGGTGGGAGCTACTTACAGGAGGTGCCTTGACCCAGTTTTCAAATGTTCCCCATTTCCTACTCATCCCCCTTTCTCCTTAGCCTACCCTGAATTCAGGAAAGGCTTGGGGGGTATGTCGGCAGAAGTCTGAGATAAAGCTCTTTGATCCAGTGGTGACTTCCATCAGCAGAATGGGAAAGGAGGCAATTATTACAGTATTATTATTAATAATAATATTACATATGTATTTATACCCTGCTTTCCCCCCTGACATGACTCAAGATGGCTTACAAATAAAGACAAGAACCGCTAAAAATTAAACACTGATAGAATTAATAGCCAGTCTCCTCCAGGCTATTGATTTGACTCTTGGATGTGTATATATTTTCATTAGAAGAACACCAATATCTTAACTCTGCTCAACTTCAAGTTTACTGCAAAGTAACAAGCTATATTGTAATATAAATATATAAGTTATATAAATATATGACTTTGTATTTCTTATTGCAGAGCTGAAAACAAGGCTTGGCCCCCTAATATTTTAGAAGATGGAAAAGCACAAGCTTATCGAGTCAATGTAGAACCAGAGCCACAGGTATGTGATCCTTTGACACTATACTATATCTGTGCCATTTTATAAGATAAAGCAGGACGCTACTTCCTTTCACCAATTAGCCGATCAACAAATAAATAGACACATGAGATGAAATTTTAAAAGATAACATTTTTAATGTACAAAGTGCTTTCACTCGTATCCCATATACAGTGGTACCTCGGGTTAAGAACTTAATTCATTCTGGAGGTCCGTTCTTAACCTGAAACTGTTCTTAACCTGAGGTACCGCTTTAGCTAATAGGGCCTCCCACTGCCGCTGCGCTATTTCTGTTCTCATCCTGAAGCAAAGTTCTTAACCCGATGTAATATTTCTGGGTTAGCAGAGTCTGTAACCTGAAGCATCTGTAACCTGAAGCGTCTGTAACCTGAGGTACCACCGTAGTGCCAAGTGACTGTTCATCAGCACAAGGGTTTCTACTTATGCAACAGGACTCTCCCTGTCCCCCTGCTCTGGGTTCTGTTCTGGATTCCTCCAATCCTCTGGGGCAGATTTGGGGAGTGTGCAGTAGGAGGGGGGAGTCCTCTTGCACAAGCAGAAATCCTTGCCCTAACAGGGCAAGGGAGTTGAAAACATTTACTGTATTTCATTCATGTTCACTACAAACCTTGGCTTAGCTACCATGCCACACTGAGCTAAAAATCTTGCTTTTCTCATGGTGTGTGACTGGAATCAATTCATGGTTCTCTCAAGCACATGTCACAACACACAGTCAGTTCAGTGACTAATGGTACATTGTTCTATGAGGCTCTCCTCCAAGCCTCTGGCTGAAGTGAGGTGGGCAGCAAGGGGAGACAGGGGCTTTTCCATTGTGGCACCTTGTCTTTGTAGTTCTGCCCAAAACAGACTTGCCTGGCATACTATCAGTTCTCTTTTTCAGCACCACTGGAGTGCACGCGTACACATACAAAGTCAAATCTTTTGTTCTTCATCAGGTTTGCTTCTCTGGTGATTTAACATGAGAAGCAAAGTGGCATTTTTTTTTTTTTTTTAAATCATATTTATTAAAGTTTCCAAAAATATAAAAATACAAAGAAAAAAAGAAAAAGAAAAAAAGATATTTAAAAACCTTACTTTCATTGCCTACTTTCTGGGACTCCCCTCCCCCGACTGTATTCCCTTTCCTTAATTTAGTTCTACAAGCTCTCACTCCCAATTTGAAGCTTAATTTGTTTAACCCACTATCCAAATTGAATTGTACAAATCTTACCACCGTCCCACATCATTAACAAGAAAAGAAAAAGATTTTCCCCAAGATCCACCCCAGTTCCTTCCACGAATTCCCTTTTTTAAACACGTCCAATCAAAATAAAATGACATGCGTAAGTTATGTAAAAAAATAAAAATAAAAGATATAGAAAAATTCAAAAGATGGTTACACAGCCTTTGGATTTCAAATCTCCCCCTTCCCCGGTTTGAATTCCCATATCCATCAGTCTGTGCATTATCAGCTTGGAAGTCTCAATTCATGACCAAATTTCTCCCGATTCCATCTTGCCGGTTTTCTTTTAATTTATTAATAATATGTAACTTCAAGTGTCCAATCTAACAAAGGCCTTTAATTTCCTTGATCTTTACCACTCCTCCCGTTGTTCTTTCCGTGTCGTAATCAGTCCTTTGTTCTTCTTTTCCTCACTTTCTCAGGTTTCTTGTCCTGTTCAGCTGCTAAAACTTTCTAATTCAGAAATCTGATATCTCTGCAGAGGTTTGTTATTCAGGAACAAAAACTTACGTCCAGTCCCTTCCTTTCTTCAATAGAAAATTCTATTGTCTCCTTTAATGTAAATACCTCTGTAGACAAAATACTATTTCAGTTTTGCAGCTTTCCCAAAAGATAACAAGTCCTGTGCGAATCCCAGAGTATTTTTCCACTTACGACCGTTCTTGTAATATCCCGAAACCCCTCTAGGGGGATTGTAATAACTTTGCATCCTCTAATCCAAAAGTCAAATTGTTGCTTATTTTCCAACAGTTTATATCCATATTGTAGCAAATTGTAGCAAAATTAACCGGCAAAGTCCTCATAACAAAGTCCTCTTTATATTCTCCAACTTTGACAGCCACTTTGACAGCTGTCAAAGTCTCCGTCTCTCTTCACCAGGCTCCACGAATCGCCCGGTTCCCAGGGGGGTTGCATTTTTCTTCTCACCCTCCACTCTTCTCCTCCAGCACAGTTCTTATAATTTCCCATCGTGAAATTAATGGTTTTTATCAAGAATATACTTCCCTTTGGACCTTGGTTACCCAGTCCTTGTTTTGGAATGCTTACAGTAGGGGGGGGGATTGACTTCCTTTTAAATCGCCCCGCTCGTGCCAAACCGAAATTTTGAACCCGGTTTCCCAATTACTCACGGGTTGTTGTTAATAGTCCAAATTTTCAATGGAAGAAGTCAGCGCTCTCCGTCGAATGGCATGCGGCTGCGCTCGGCAGGGAAAGCAGAAGACAACAAGCACCACGCCGCTCCCCGGCACCCGATCCGAAGCCTTTAAAAAGGCTCCTTCACGAGTCGGGAGGGCGCTAATGGTGCAAGCCGAGTCACCCATGTCCACGGACTCCGTGCCCGTGGTTTTTAAGGGTCCCCGCGTCGCCGGCGCGGTAGGACCCAGCCCCTGCCGAGCAGACTCCCTCCGGAGCTCGGAGGGAGTCCGCCATTCGGCGATGGCGCCAACCCGGAAGTCCCAAAGTGGCATTTAAAGATGTTGTGGTGGCTAGAGTGACAGCTGAAATTAATCCACCTACTACCTGCATAGGAAATGGTGGTGATAAGAAATGCTTTGTTCTTTAACAGTTTTCACTTTTTCACTGTAGTTCCTGGATTACTGGAGAATTTGACTGCTAATGCCAAAATGGGGTTCTGAGTGCATCTTGTGCTAATTGCCATGAATATCTGATAGCAAATTAGACTGAGTAGGAAGTTCAGCTTCAGTGTCACTTTAGCCAAAGCAGCTCAACACTTCTGCCTAAACAGAGCTGCAGTACAATACCAAAAGCCAAAATGCACAAACAACCTTTTAACATAATATTTTGCCACTCAGTTAAATGAGCTCCTGCTGACCATATGCACAAGGGACTCAACAGAGAGAGAGGGTTAGTCACTAAATCAGATGGCCATTATGTACAAGGTGTTGAATGATGATGCGTACATGGGGGGGTACTTTAAATCATTACATTCCTTGCTTTTCAATTTACATTTTCCTCTTGGTATTTTTGGTGATATGTACAATGACTTCGTATGTGGAACCAGCACAATCTGAAATGAGGAAGGGGGAGGGGAACAGCAGAGATGGTGAGGACTGTAAATCTCTGGATTTATGGGAGTTAATCTATTAGACAGATTGGAGTAACACCCTGGGGTGGGGGGAACAAAGGCTGGTTATAAAGCAGGCAAAGGAAAGTCTGTCCACTTCTGGTCCTTATCACATTTTTACCCATAACTGCATTCAATTTCTGCATTATTTTTAACAATCTAAAAAAAAAAAAAAAAAGGTCCCAGAATACAAGAGGTGCCGATCAGGTCTTTCCAGGTAGAAACTTGTAAGCATCAAGTCCCTCAAGAATTCCTACTGAAGAATATTAGGTGATCTGACTGAACTCAGTGACACTTTGTTCTGAACAGACACACACGGGATTGTGCCATAACAGACTGAGCTGTAAACCAGGGAGTGTGTTGCTTCTGCTATGGATTTAGGAAAGACTATACTGTCAGCCACTATTCCCAACCTCCATATTCTGCAATACCGAGATGATCATACTGACCTACCCTGCAGGGTTGTTGCAATCATGTGTCTAAAGTGCTTTCAGAATTCTAAAGCACTATATATAAATGCTCCTAGTGTGGTGTAGTGGCTAGAGTGTTGGGCTAGTTCCTGAGAGACCAGGATTCAAATCCCCATTTTGCTCTGCCCTGAAGCTTACTGGGTGACCCTGAGTCTGTCGCTGTCTCTCAGCCATTACCTACCTTCAAGGGTGGTTGTGTGGATAAATTAGGGAGGAAATGTGGAATACGAATGTAACAATAACAACTCTCCTGTAAAAACTACAACACCTATCTCTGTACCCGAACACAGCCATTTTCCTCCTCTAAAATAGAAAGAATGCCTGTGCCACTGAGGAAAGGAAATCATTAGTATAAACTCTTCTGTGCTTTGTCTCCTATAGATTTTTTTTAAGACAAAATACACCCACATGGTGCTAATAAAAGAATGGGTTGTTTGCTTTCTTGACCACTTGCATAGTGCCGGATTTGACAGCTTGCTGGCATAACAGAGATTGGAAACTCATGTTTCAAACTGTGAGGTCAGACTCTGTTCTTGTTAATTGACAGTAGTTGCTGATTCCTGGTCATTAGGGAGGGGGGGGGGGAGGATTGCTGAAAAATGGGCATTAGCTTTGTGGAAATTCACAAGGCTGAAATGGGAACTAGGAAACAAAGGGTTTGGCAATACATTGCAGAGCCTTTCACTGCAAAGTCACTGGTTCGTTTGCAGTCCAAAATAAAAGTGATCAAAAGGTTTTGGTGAATTTAGTCTTGGGTGTCTGTGGTCAAAGATCCCTGATGGTAATAATAAAAAAGTTAGCCAGCCAATGGAACCTGGTATTTAACTATCCATTCCTCTTGATTACAGCTTTATCAGAAAGGCCTTGGGGTCTCAAAAGCAGCACACAGAGCCCAGATTTGTTTGCTTAAAGTACACATCACTCTTGGCTTCCGGTAAAATAAACAGCTACTTTTTGTTGGGCCAGTCATACCACCCACATAAGTGTCTTTTCATTTGTCCTTTTGACGTCCTACAGGACAATAGTTATAGCATTAGTGTCATTCTACTAGTCTGACATGCCACTTAGCTGTGTTTATTTCCTGTGGAACAGAACTCTCTTAATGGAAGCACCATGAAACAATGAGTTAAATATTAATTATTTTTTAATAGATGTAGCTCCACTTTCTCCTCTTGGACAGACAAAGAAGATAATGTTTCATTTAGAGATAATACTTAAAGCATGTTTTCAGTTGTTATTCTTAACATAGAGTAAAAAAAATGAGAGCTATAAATGAGCCATGACATTTCTGAAATAAATGGCAGGTTGGGAGACGCCACTAAACCATTTTGAAAACAAATTCCTGCTTCACTCATGAAAACTGAGCAAGCCTAATTATCCCTGCATTTCATATGAAAACAAGCACTTACAATACTACATCTAACGTATGTTTCATTCTGCTGTGCTAACTGTAATTGGTTGCATATGTAGTAGATGTATTTTGAAAGCAAGGCTTTAAAACATAGCTGGTTTTAAAGAATTTATCATAGAACCTTAGGGATGATTTCCTTTACCACTTGAAGCTGCACTGCGTATTTGGTTTATTTCAGTTCACACTAATGCCCCAGTTCTTTGCAGGTGCCACACATGTGGGACCAGATTTTTTGCATGACATTGGAAAAACCACCCTAAATCCGTATTTAGATGGGATGGAATTCAGGGTGGGGAGCCACGGTCCACCCACTTATTTGGGGCCTGCCTTTGTCTTGAGTTAAAATTCCATCCTGGGGTACGAGTAGCTGTGTGCTAAAACTGGATGCCTGTCCTTGATGGTTACTGCACAGAATCAGTGGGCACAGCAATTCCAAGTGGTCACCATGTGCCCATATGATTATGTGAATGGACTTTTACTTAGGATTGCTTCCTTGGTTATTCTTTCTGTTCTCTTACTTCCCAGTGATAGCAGACTTTTCATAATTTTCACTGCAGTTAATTTGGAGTAAGGCATAGAGGTTAATTGTGATTGTCATCCACATGTCTTGACTAAGGAGCTTTGGAACAGATTTCCCTTATTAGCTGACAATTGGAATGAGAATGTCCCATCTGTATGGAGTGTTCTGTTCTGGCAACCTTCCAGTATTAGCTGATGTGGAAATGATCCCATGATATGGAAGTGGTGGTGGTCCCTTTGGGGATATACTTTATAGTGGTGGTATAGAGAAGATCCCACAGAGACAAATTCAAGCAACATAGTGTTGCCAGCCACCCCAATCTCCGAGTGGTGTGAGATTCCAGGAGTTCCAGGGGTTTGTGTTTCCTTTGGAATGAGAAATAGTAGAGACTGTGGCATCTTTATGATATATGCTTTATTTACCGTATTTATACATATATACAACCTGACCCTACAATGGAGGAGTTCACAGCATTAACACTCCAAAGAGTCTTGTTTCTCCCATAGTCTTGGATTCAAACACAAATCAAACATTGTTCCTACACTTTCTCCAGCTTGCTTTTCTTCTAGTTCCTATCCAGACTCTGGTCTCAACTCTGCCTTTGTCTTTCTACCTATTTGCAAGCTGGGAGAGGGGCTCCACTCAATTGCCATCTCACACAGAGCCCCTTTGTTCTTCTTAATAGCCCATCACCCAGGTGATTGCCTTACCAGGAAGCTAGCGTAGCATGTATTTTAACTCCTGCTGGATCCAGGGCTTAGAAGGGTCTTGGTATACAGCCTATTTTCCCCTGCCTAAACTCATAACACTACATCAGTGGCTCCCAATCAGCTAAGTACCCTTGTTTTTCAAAAGCTAAGCCTACCCCTACTTTTGAAAATGTTGATATCTCTATGTAGTTTTTGTTATGTGAATGGTGCCACGGACCCCCTGGGTGGGTTACGCCAACCTCACAACTAGGAACCACTGCACTACATAATATGTGGGCCATCATAGGTGACAGGACTGCCTAACTACTGTGTACACTAGGAGCAGCTAACCTTTTTCAGCCCAAGAGCTATGTAGACCTCAGGTCAGCTCTCTAGGGCCCATATATAAGTATGCATGGCCATAGCCATTTTTTTTTTTTTAATGGACTTAATTTCAACCACTGATGCATTCTTCTTATTCCTCACCTATTTTGCAACTATAATAGAAGAGAGGGGAGATTAAAAAAAATCATTGCCAGCTGACATTGACAATAAGAATATTCCACCAGTGGTAACTTAAATGTATAAACAGTCCATGTGTCCAAAAAGATATCTAAACAGGATTGGTGACTATAAACATAGAAAGGACTATGAAATTTTCAGTCCACTGAGTAGTAGATGGTGGTTGTTTATAATTCCAGCCCTGCACTATATAGGTTGTATTCAACTAAGTCCTACTCGGAGTAGACCCATTAAACTTAATTGGAGGAATTCAACAGCACACTAATTAAAGTCACTTAGCAGTGTACTATTTACGCTGGAATGGCTTGCACCAGCAGAATGGCTTGTGGAAGAAAAGGCACAAGAAGTCAGCATGGTCCTTGTGTCTGATTGCACAACCGATACTTTCTGTTGAGCAAAACGTCACACAACAAACCTCCACGAGCACAACCACTGCACTGCATTTCATATTGTGCAACCTTTATTTTTGTCCTTATGCTAGGCTAGCGCAACAACTTTTGCACTAACAGTTGGAGAATGTTGACGTTAGGTCAATAAACCTACCGTAAGTCATTTGTGCCCACTAACTTCAATGGGTCTACTCTGACTAGGCATGGCACTGAATACCATCCATAATTTCTTTGCAACCATAAGGCTTCACAGGATACACTTTGTTCATTATTCATTACTAACATTAAATATTAAATTCAACAATTTATTAAGAAAGCACTAGCCACTAAACTAAGAGCGTCCCCAAACAAATAATTATTTTAATTCCATTTCATAGCTGGAAGCTGCCTTCCCTCTTACTCACTCACACAATTAATTTCATTTCAATTTACTTCTGAGCTATAAGCACCCTGTACCTCCCCCACCCACATACGGTAATTAAATTCATTTCACAAAGCACTGGCCTGTTTACTCATTTCACTTTACAAAGCAGTGACCTTAAATTACATTGAATTGTGCTATTTAAAAGTTGCTGTTCAGTGTCCCTTTGGGTGCCTCTGAATGCTTGTTCTCTCCTTTGGTTGGCATCAGCTGTCTCCAGTTGCTGATGGAGAGATATGATCCCTCCTGATTGTTCCTAAGGGGAGCCAATGCATGAAGCAGCAGGAAAAACAACATACTGAGGTTTCCAAGTGCTGCAGAAGCCCTTGTCAATAAGGAAGTGACAGGCAACTTACTGGATATGCTGCTGCTGCTACCACTTCTAACAACTTTAGGGGATTTTAGGGTGCTTTGGGACCCTGTGAAAACTCACTGAACAACTAGATATGACAGTGGGAGACAGTAAGGAAAAGGAAATTATATTTAACGAGATTTCAACAGAGCCACCTTGGAATGGCTTGGTGACATGGACTGGCTAAACACAGAAGAATGGTTTTTATTTGTTTTCATTATTTATGCTCTGTAAAATGTGTTCTTAATGTTGTACACCTCCCTGGGATATTTTGGTAAAGGGCTGTATATAGCTCTAATAAATAATAAGTTTTAGTTGGAGTTACCTCTCTGGAAATCAAAGGCAGGATCAGTGGATGTGCTACGTGTTGTAAGTGTCCATTCATTTCTACTACATTCTACCTATATAATTGTAAATAAAATAATGAAGATAATGTAAGTCTTAAGTGCTGTCCCATTCCAAGGAAACTGTGCCCTGAAGCACTGGCCCCAAGTCTCTTCAGCACTTCAGGAATTAGGAAACAATATTATTGCCAGCATGAAGTGAGATATTAATTGTACCATCCTCCTGGGCAAATATAGTTTTCTTAGTTATAGTGACCTTTCTATAAGATGCAAGCTGGGGTCGGGGGGTGTAGTATTGTATATGAATCTTTTGGGGAATTATACAGTATCAAACAAAAACAGCATATACTGCATAAAATCTCCAAATGAATTCAGTTAAATGCATCACCAAAGAGAAAAAATAGTTTTCATACTTTTGAGAAAACAAAATATGAGATAATACCCTGGCACAGTCCTAGATTCCCAATCACACGGGAACTGCAGGCTTGACTGAGGGCTGATTTAATGGTAGAAACACGCAGAAGCATTACAGCTACTGTTATTCAAATCAACCATGAATGGAAGGAATTTGTACAGAGTTCTCTCCCCACCCCCCACCCCAATACCACAACCATTCAATGGCATTACTATTTTGGAGACAACTAATTCCTTCAGATCAAATTGCTAGAGTGAAAAAATGGCAACAAAAAAGATTAACAGATTTTTGCTTCTTCATAAAGGTGGCAAAGCATATTAAATATTGCATCAAAGCAGGATAAATAGTATAATATCATGATGTTCTTGCTAGTACTGGCAAGACCACTAAATTAATCTCAGTTATATAGTTTAGCCTGTCGACACTATTAGGAGAGTTTTATTTGTGTAATTTCAATAAAATCATAGAACTGTAGTGTTAGAAGAGACCCCGAGGATCATCTAGTCTAGCCCAACTCCCTACAATATAGGAATATGCAGGTGTCCCAAATGGGGATCAAATCTGCAATCGTGGCATTATCCCCACTACACTAGTCTAACCAACTAGGCTATTCAGCTTTTGCATCACGACCCGCATCCCATTGTTTTGCTATATTTGAGCATCATATGAGTCATGAAGGGTTAAATAGGGAAATGGACAGGGGTATGTATGCCCCCCAACTTCCTCAAGCTGCAAGAGAGTTTTTAAGTGAGTTGAGCTGAATTCCTTGGTTTAGTCTTGTTTTGGTCTCTGGCAGGAGTCAAGGGGGAAGCTAGATATCCAGGGGGAAGCTAGATATCCACATACTGTACAGGTGGATAGCCAACTCCAGAGGATTGAGGAAGCAGTCCAGTATCAGGGCAACCCAGAAACAGAGGGCCTTAAGAAGAAGCCAAAGCCAAGTAGAGTGAAACAGTTTAAAAGTGGGCACGATGTAACAGCAGGGTTGTGAGACAATGCCAAACATAACACAGCAGCCTGAGGTGCAGTAAAGATTCCAAGAGCAAGGTGCTAGCAGAGGTCAGTAGCACAGGATCAGTTAGGACAGGCATCAGAAGCAAGAAGCTGGGGTGCACAGAGCTAAGGTCCTGCACTGATCCAGCAGCTAACAAGTCTGCGGCTGTGGTCACCCAGACCCTACTCAGGCCCAGCTGCAACTGGTTATCTCAGACTTCCAGGTTCCTTGCTTCCAATGAGTCCTTTTCTCCCAAGGATGACTCTTACTCCTGAGGAACCTGGTTCTTTGGGGCCTTTAGGCATGCTCTCTGTTGAATGAGAAGTCAGTCCGGCTCCAGCAGGGCACCTCCTACAAGTGCACAGCCATCGCAGGGAGCATTTCTAAGTGCATTCAAGTAAATGTGCTTGAAAGCTATCTTCAGACCTTTTTGCTAATCACTCAGAGATTCCCAAGAGCAGCTGGTCTGCTGCGGGATGTGAGGAGTGGGGTTTGTGTGCCCACCCCTGCCCTTCCCCCTAATTTAATGCCTGCACATGGCTATTGCTACCAGCACAAGTAGGGATGTTGCTAAAATAAATGGGGGGAAATCCAACAGCAGATTGTTGGGTTCAACGTGAAAATTTGGGGGAGTTCTTGGGTTTACATTTCTTGGGTTAAAATGCAGCTGCTGCCACCATGATCACAAATAAGAGGGGATGAGTGAGCACGTAACTACTCCGTGGGTTACAGCAGTAGCATCAATAGCAATGGTTTGCTGGCCCTCGCAAACCGATGTTTGTCATTGTCATTATTAACATGGTTGGCACCTCAGGGTGGCTAGTCCTAGAATAATCCATATCTCCTAAAGGATTTCCAGAGTTTCAGCAGATATTCGCATGAGCGTAGCCAAGGGGGGACAGCTGCCCCCCTAAATCAGTAAAAAACAATTAAAAAACATAGCTAACTGAGGTTCTGCCCTCCCTAACAAAAGGCCTGTCCCTCTTAACAAAAATCCTGGCTACACCCATGGATATTCTTCATAATGAGCAGCAACGCTATATTATTTTCAGAAGCGGTTCAGTGGGGTTGACCATCACAAGTTTTTCCATCTTATTTAACCATAACTATCCCCAGATAAGCAAAATCTGGAGTGGCTGAATCTCATGAACGTTAGATTGTCAGTTACATTACAGTGAATTTGTATAAACTGTCACTTAACCCATTTTTAATCTGCTACAAGTGATATCTATACAACAGTTTCTCTCAAATCAACCATCTTAATGCCAAATAATTACAGTATATGTAAAAAATGCAGTATTTAGATCAGGAAAGACTCGTTTCCAGCTGAAATGTCTTTGTAGTCAGTTCTTTTTCCTGGCTTCCATACCTCCTGCCCTGGCTGCAATAAGTAGGCAGGGCTGTGGATGTGGTCCTGGCTGTGCCACTTCATCATGTATTACTGGCCTAGAATTGTAGGCAAATGTGCTGCTTGCAAATAGATTTGGGGAGAAGAGTTTCGTATGCTTTCTGTTGCTAAAATTGCCACAGTTGTGTAAAGTTCAGCTCCTGAGTTTTGCTGTGCTTTACCTATGTGGCCAAAGCCCATGGGAGACATAATGATGGCCTTGGTTAATAATGTTTCTCTGTTTTCCACATAGTCACTTCCTGTGAATTAAACACTGTGTAGTCATTTGTTACCATTTTCATACAGCTCCATTTGTAACCAAGCAACCAATATTGTAGGTAAATAATTCTGATCACAGTGCAATACTTTGGTTGTTCTTCATGGGAAAAAATTCTGCGATTTTTTTTCCTTCCCCTTTTTAATGTGGCGCTGAATCATTTGGAAAATCCTGTTTTTCATAATAATATAAAGGGTAATTTGTCCTGTGTCCCAGATAAGAAAAGTTGTTTCTCACAGTAGGCTCTACGTACAAATCATATGATTATTTACTATATATGCATTTTAAATTATTATTTCAAATATCCAATCATTAAGGTTACCATATGTTCATGGGCTACATTTTAATTAATGTATTTTAAGACTTAAAAAAAAAAAAACAACTACCACCACCTGGAGTCAAAGAGTCACCTGAAATAAAACATTAGTATAATGTATGTTATAGACCTAGGAAAATGCAAATAAATGTCTAGTAAAAACAGAGGTGGTTTATTTTTAAAACAGGATCATATACAAACTTGAAATCTAACATTTAGGCCACTCTATTATCTTCTCTGACTGTTTGACACAATCTAGTTTAGAACTTTAGGTTCCTCACAGCATAATTTTAAAACTTTATCAATAGGAATATAGAGATTTTTCATTATTCCAGATTCATAGTTGAATTCTGAATAAAAACTGCTTGTTGGCTATGGTATTCCATGCAATCTTGGTAAAGGAAGAAAAAATATAATTAAAACAACTTTTTCAGCAAAAGATGAACATGCAGATTTTAAGAAATTAATGCTATATTCAGTTTCATTTAATATGACTACAGAATTTATTATCTCTTAGGAACTGACCATCGGGCCCACAAGCAAACAGGGCCACAAATGATCTTTGTAACTCAGCCATTTCAGTCTAGCAGTTGTCAGAATTTTTTTATGTTAGTAAATTGGTAGATCCAGATGGACAATAGAAAGTGCTTGTGTTTAAATATATGCTCAGTGATATATACTCAGTGAAGTACAAGTAGAATGAAAACAGTTGAACAGAAACGGAATAGAAAAGTCCTTATAAAACTGAAAACTAAATATCTAGAACTAGGCACTGATGTTGGTGGTGTGATACCATATATAGGGACCAGTAACTAAAGGCTTAATGGCCAAATTTGGACCTCAGAGGAATCCCACCTGCAGGGGCACCCCTTCCTGCTTCACCACCTGAGATGTAATGGAAATATGTCCCCTTGTCCCCCACAGTGCCTCACCCCACCACTTCTGCCCCCACTGTAATGCCGCCCCCTTTCACAGAACCCACAAGGCGTTGCTGCTCCTCTTCCCCACCCTGGGGAGGGGAAGACAAGAGGGAACACAGCATACCAGAACACCTTCCTCTCACCAGTGAGAAGGGGTGCTTTGGCAGTGGTAGGAAAGGTGGTGCTGCCGGCTACTACCTCTTGCACTTCCTCTGTCTGATGTGGGTGCTTTACCCTGCCTCATTGGTGGGCTGGCTCTGATCACCTGACAATACAGAGGCATTACATGTACGTGGAGAAGGCAATGACTGTAGATGGCAGCAGAATGTTCTGCAAGTCTTCATTGGGAGTGGAGGTAGCCCTGGATCACCACTGCCTTCATCTCCTCCTAAAACTCTTATAGAAGTAGCTCTTGCCATCTATGGGCTGATTGTTGTTAGAACCATTTCAATGCAGGAACAAACCTCTGAAGCATCCTGGTGACATGAAAGTTGCACCCAAGATTAAATGTTCTGTTAGTAAATAAATGTTGAAAGTACAGCATTGGAAAAGTTATTGTTTTGTTTGTTTGGTGTCTTCGGTGTGACTTGGCATGTCATGTCCCATGTTGCAGAGGATAACCAGACCACATCCAGAGTACTGCTTGCAAGGAATGCAGTATTTGGCACAACTCTATGCATTTGGAAACTTACATATGAGTGCAGGCCTGCTTGCTTGGATTCTGTAACATTGATCCAAATGGCAGTATTTTCCTTTAGAAGTGATATATGCTAGATTTAAGAGCCAAATGAAGTGAGAACCTTATGCTTATGCATGGTGTTTTGTATTCCTGATATCACTGAGTACCTGGAGTTGAGCAGGAGGGACAGTTTAGGAGATATTCTCTTATTCAAGATGGTTGCAGAACCTAAGCCATCTTGAATTACTATCATGAGTCTTACCATTTTTGGATTCCAGTCAGTGATTAAAGGGATGGGAAGGCCTTCATTCTGTTCCATAGAACGTGTTCTGCAAAACTATTTAGAGCAAACTTTTACATTATTTGCGGTATTTATTAATTCAAAGATAAGTAATAGTTATCTTTGGACATAAGATGTATTGTTCTGTAAAGATTGTAGATTTGGGGTGAATAGTACCATAATTTTATCCATAGAAAGGTACCCGTTACAATTACCATCTAGGTTTATTCTAAAATCATTCTAAACTTATTTTCCAACTGTTTTATACCTTGAAAATGAAATATTGCATATCAAAACTATTTTTAACCACTGGGATGTACAAAAATAGAAAAATATAATATGAATGTTACTACAACTTGTTTGTGAAATATTTTAATGCAGTTTATTTTAATAAATAATTTTTAATAAAAAGGATATCAGTTTAAATCTTCCTATCACCCACCATCCCACTTCAAAGCTTGTGAAACCTATTTTGCCTTTTTAAATCACAGTTCATTAAGCATTACAACCACACAAGCCCTATTGAAGTTAATGATGGTTAGGCAGGTTAGGCAGCATTTGGTAGATTTGTATCCTATGTTACGATAGTACTGGAGTTTTCTCAGCAGGAATTTGAGTACTGAAGATATATGAGGCACAGTAACAGAGCATGATTGTTTAAGCACAGAAGAATGACTTTTCTTTCTAGACCGTTCTTTCACTAGAGATGTGGTGCAGATTTGTCTAAAAAAATAAAGTACTAGGCAAATAACAGAATAAAAAAGACTTTTGTTATTAGTGGTGCAAGGCAAAGGTTGGCTTCCTGTCAGAAACAAAAGGAGAGCACAGCAAATAGGAGAAATTATTGGTTGCCTTTCAACTTTATGGGGGGTGGGGAATGAACTGTATATACTAGTATCTTCAAACATGTTTTAGGAAGAAAAGGTTTATATATATTTATTGAAAAGCCTATGACCTGACTTTGGTTGTTCCATTCCATACATCTATTTGAATGGAATGGAATGGAAAATTCTTTGTAAATTATGCTTTTCAAGGGTGTAGAGAGACACCACTAAAATTTTATCTTGTGCTGTATCAAATACTTGTTTGAAAGCATTGCAAGCATACAGGGCAAAAAAGTTAGCCTAAATAAAACACTGTGTACTGTGTTAGTTATTTGAAAACATGCCAGGCATATTCTTCTAGCACCCAAGGTGCCAACAGCCTAACATGTCAGAATTTGGTCCATTTTATTTTACTGTGAATGCTTGCATCTGAATAAGCGCTTATTCAGTTCAAAAACTTTGAATGCTTCCAGAAATGAGTTGGTGCAATGAAGTTGTTTGAGAAAAGGTGTTACTGTAATTCCTTTTCTCTTTGCTGTATAAGAGCCCAGTTCATATATACATTGAAGAATCCAAATGGACAACCATTTACATTATGTCAGTATAGAGGTAGCCCTGCCAAGTGAGTTCTGGAATGGTCTTCCAAATAGTTCAGCTGAGATTATTTCCAGTACTACACACAGTGGTTAACAGTGGGAAACTTCGTAACAATGGAAAATAATGACCAATGTATTCTACTGTTAGCATCTTATAATTTTCCAGCCACAGAATTTTCCTGTAGACAACATGAAGAAGTTGTAAGGGCCTTCTCGGTAGTGGTGCCTGCCCTGTGGAACTCCCATCAGATGTCAAACAGATAAATAACTATATGACTTTTAGAAGACATCTGAAGCCCTGTACAGGGAAGTTTTTAATGGTTGCTGTTTTATTGTGTATTTACTATTTTCTTGGGAGCCGCCCAGAGTGGCTGGGGCAACTCGGTCAGATGGGCGGCATTTAAATAATAAAATTATTATTATTGTTATTTCAATTTACAACAACATTAATATAAGTATTTTCAGCTTTTGTTAAAGATGAAAGATTATTCCAGGGATTCAGACTGTAAACATCACTATTTGGTTCTTTGTTTCCAAAGTATTAGTTTCCTTGGTTGTATTAGTTCCTATCAAGAATGGCAGCCAAAAATGTTTACAAAAGTTGCATGAAAGGTGCAGGCAACTCTTGTGAATAATTATTTTTCTACCAGAAAGTGCATTCAAAATAAGACTGATTTATCACACACAATTCCCACCCAGATGTTTCATACATTGTAGCAGCTTCAAAGTTATTGAAAATATATGGGCATACTGTGTTGCCACGACCATTTCAGCATATGGAAATGATGGGGAGGGGGAGCTCAGCACCAGTGGAATTCCAGTTTCACCTACCCATGACAAGACAATTGCATACATGTGTTTGCAAGATGCTGAATTCAATCCAGACCAGCTTTTGTCATGCCACCACACACATTTCATTACGCTTGTGCTGGCAGGCCGAGGGCCAACTCATGCTCCATGCCGGGCGGCAGAGTGCATGTGGCTGCCTTGCCATAAGCTGAACAAGGATGAAATCAGCATGGCTTGAACTGTTCCCTGACCATCACATAGTGAATGTAATTATCAGAACAGGCAGTATCTAGACTTAAGGAAAAGTGAAGACAGTCCTTATTTATGTAAAGCACAGCATCTTTTTTTTTGGGGGGGGGGGGAATTGAGATTAGCTAGTTTCATTATGCTTCCACTTTCATGATGTATATGAAGACTGATCTGACACAACTTCCTCTCAAACTTTTACTTGACCTGCTAATATTCTGCTAACATGCAAGTATGCAGAAACCACTTTTGTTATAATCAAGCTGCTGAACAACGCACATAAGGATTGCATTGCAGATTTCAGTTTCATGGGTGAAACCACAGATCACTGAAAAATGTATTTCATAACTTTCACACCAGCCTAAACAGGGAAATCCCAGCATCCCAGATCAAATTCCTCAGCCAGGACTTAACTCACTCTGTTTATATATTCTTATTACAAAATGTAAGCCTGATGCATCTGGCTTTGCCGTTCAAGGTCCTATAAATGTATTTTGAAGCTCTTTCAGCTATGAATGTTTTGATGTGGATATATCTGGAGCAGTTCAGTTTTCCATGTCCCCCCACCCCCAATAGCCCAATACATTTTGCTGCCTGAGGCAGATCGGTAAATTGCTTCCCACCCCCACAAAACTCAAGGTGCAAAGTTGCCAAGGCAAATCAGGTTATTTTAACACCGGAGGCTAAACATCCCAGGAGTGTTTTTTCCCTTTCCCTGGCAGCAGAGGCACAATAATAATAAATAAAATAAGTAGCCCTTTCATGAAAAATTGGTTGCCTCACTCTGCCTAATGGCAGGGCTGGTATAACAGCATTCTTCCTAACCCCATCAGCTTATTTTAACAGTAATATTTTCAGATGGTCTGTGAACATTTTTTTCTCCTATACCCTGTCATATGGAAAAACGGAACCTTTTCTGATGTTCAGGCCATAAATTTTCTTTTTCTTTTCAGAATTCATTAGTCTGGGAACACCTAAACAGTTCTGATGGAGTAATGTTCACTGATGGCCAGGCCATTAAATTTTTGTTTCTCTCCTGACCTGTGTTTGCTACCAGCTGGTATTCAGAGACACATCACCATGACTAGTAACCATAGATAGCCTCATCCTCCATGAATTGATTAAATCCTCTTTTAAAGTTTATGGCTATCACTACCTTTAGAATAGAATATTGAAGTCTGACAGGAAGTATAGGTGGGAAAAGGAAGCCAAGCTTCATTTTGTATTACTGGATTTGTTACCTTGCACTTGAATATGTACAGTAGCATACAATAAAGAAGTATGATAGGGTAAAGGAAAATGATATTACACTGATCCTGCTCGAACATAAAAAATAAGATTCTGAATGTTGGATTCTAACTCCCACCAGCCCTAGCTGCCATGGGCAAAGTTCGGGGTGATGGTAGTCCAGCAACATTTGGAGAGCCACAGGTTACCTACCCCTGATGTAGAGAGAAAGCCAAGACTTCAGAACAGTCTCCATATTAGAAGATTAAGTTTTAGAACAACTCAGTTTAAGCTTTGCCTTCTGGGTACAGTTGCTTTTTACCTATTTACATTTCAGCTGTTTTGGATTTATTTCCTTATTTATTTCAAAAGGCAAGAAGAAAAAGTTCTCTAAACCATATAGAAATGGCTTTTCTCTTGGTTACTTTTTCCTTTCTGTTTTAGGAATCAAACATTGCTGCAATTTGGGGGCACTTTTCGTTTTGTGTGTGCCTGAGGGAAAGCTTGTAAGGTTTCAATTCATCAGTGCAGAAGCATGGGGGAGTGTATATCATTTCAGTCCCTGCTCACATCATCGTAGTTTCCTTTCCCAAGTTTTGTCTCTTATAAGGATTTATTTTTCCTGAACAGAATATACACAGTTAATTCCCTGCAGGAGAATTAAATTGCACTAAGTCTTTATGAGCTAGGGTTTTGGAGCTGATTTCAAGTACCGCTATTCAAAATTGCTCAAAACCAGAGGTTGAAGGAGCAACCCTGGGAGGGAGAAGCAGTTTCCAAGCACTGCCCATTGGCTGATGGGTGGTGGGAACACGTCTTGCTACAGCAAAGAAACAAGTGTGCACTCAATTTATGATCAGGAGGTCCTGCATGTTCCTTTGAAGCCCGGTCCTTATCTGCCTGTATGGTGAACAGGCATGGCTTGCCAAACATGGTCTTGCTGGCAAAATGGGGCGGCCAAGCAGACTACGTTTGGAGGTTCTCCAGCCTTGGTATAATGTCTGCTTAAGACACGCATTAGCAACATAGCCGCAGGATGAGTTATAGCTGACGGGGAACTCAAGGGAAGGTAGAATGGAGGCCGATGCTTAAAGCAAGAATGCAGGTGGGTCAGTGGGCAAAAAGAATGGAATGTGCACACCATTTGTGCAAGGTCTACAATGGTATAGTCACACCACCAAGTAGCTAAGTTTGAATCATCATCAGACCTCATCTCCACCCAAGCAAGCGACTGCCAAAGGTCCTCCCACCAGTGGCAGATAGCAGAAAGCCCAGAATGGGCCTTTGGAGGGCACTGGAAGCTTTGGACATGCAGGATCCTGAGGGACGTGACACATGAGCTAGTGCAGCAAAAATGGATGGCAAACAACCAACCCCAACCCCAACCCACATCTTCTGCCCTGACAGGCAGGAACCAGCTGGGCCCCAGGTTAAGTTCTTCCAATCCAATGACCCCTAGTCCCATTGAGGATGGCTTGACCTGCCAAACAAGGTGGCGGGGGGGGGGCAGGTAGCAGGGAAGTGTAAGCTCTATGAAAGAAGTAACAGACAAGGCCTTCAAAAGACTATCCCATCTGCTAGCTATATGTGTACTGATAGAGATTTAGGAGGGCAAAAAAGCAGTGCTACTTATTCCAAATATTTTAGAAAAAGTTATCTGATTAAAAAGCCTTCCAAGCAAGGAGAACACATGCCAAATAGTACCGAAATAGTTCATGAACATGGTGAGATACAATGCTGGCACCCGCCACATCTCATTGTTAGTAATTTAACTAGGAAGACAGAGTAGCTCTGATTGCCAAGAAAAGGATTTCAAATGCAAATCCCTGACTTAAGATCTTTTGAAATTTTGAATCCAGCAGGATTCCCCCTAGGCAGACAGTCTTTCGGTCTCAGGCTCTCGATGTCAGATATTTTTAAACCTTAATATGTTTTATATTTGTGTTGATTCCACATAAATAAGTCTATAAAACATGACAAGTACTCCATTCTCAAAATGTGTATGAGAGAATACTTTTCTACTCCTTTTCCAAATTCCTTGCTGATGACACCCCCCCCCCAATTATGGGACCCAGATATTAATATTAAAACTGTTCCGCTTGATGTAAATGCTTTGCTTAAAGATTGGATTTCATATGTTAATTAGGAATCATAGGGATTATTAAATATATATTTGCTTCATTCATTCAACTAGGTCAGAGGTCATTGTAAAACCTTAAATAGTCTAATAAAAAGCCGAACACACATTCCTCTTGGATATGTGTTTCAAAATGTAATAAGAGCCAGATTATATTCTCTCATTGGGCATTTTAACCCTCTCCTGCCCCACTTAATTATTCTGGTATATTTCTCTATTACTTGGCCTATCCCTTCTGCTAAAATGGATGACTATGAAGATGCTATGAGTGAACAGCATTGGCACCTAAGCAGAGTGCTGAAGTTGAATACTTACAAAATAGTACAATAGTAATAGTAAAGTTCAACTGTGTCTGCGGCTAATTTTAAAATTCAGAACATAAAAATACGTCATCTCTCTGAAAAGTAAAATAAGACCATTCTGAGCACTTGTACAGCAACACTGTCTCTTCATTTGAGACTTTCCATTTGCTTCAGAAATGAGGTATTTTTTTTGTTGAGCCACCATTTGAGAAAGCTTTATGTTAACAAATAAAATTCCTGAGACTAAATGCTGCTACTAGAGCCAAAGTTCCTTTCTGGTTATTTGATTTTTCCATTGATCATCTGCAAAAACACATTTTGAATACACATTATTCAAGCTTTAGATTCTAAAAATTCTGGGAGACACAGCTGCCCTTATAGTTGTTCTTTTTGTGAATGTCTGCACACGAGATACCACACAGAATGAGAGATTGACTCTCCAGAAATGCCATTTTGGCTGGATCTGTGTGCTTTTCAGAGGGTGTGTTTCTACATGTTGGGGTGGGGAGTTGAGAGAGGAGGGAGATTCCATGACTATAAACACTGAACAGGACAGAATTCCGAGCCGCCTCCTGTATAATCTGATTTGCCTTTTATATGTGGTTAACTCATCTCATATGTGCTAGATTACTGAAAGAAGCTTCCAAAGCCTTTGTTTGCTCTTACATTTACTAGCTAAACTGGTTTGATTCAGCTGACCTTTTAACGAGTAATCAACACAATGAATGGTATTTCAGTTGATGTTATATACACCTGCAGAAACTGCTGCTGAAAGACTGCTAAGAAGTAGTCTTGATCTATTTATTTATTTATTTGTTTGTTTATATGCAATATAAATACACATATATATTTAGTATATTCTCTTCCACTCACAAATTACTTCTGCAGAATTAAAGGTTTTACTGGTGTAGCTCAATCCTATGCATGTCAACACAGAATGAATAGCCTTTTCAAATAATTGAACATTCATTCTGACTCGTTTACACAAAACTTTGTGTATAGTTTATACAGCATTGCTGTTTGTTGAGCATTCATTCTGATTTGTTTGCAGGAAGGTTACTGGACATAGCTTGACATTGTTGCTATCCCATACATTCCAGTACAGCTTCCTGTCCCTTTTTGGTTTGTTTGTTTTTAATTCGTTCGTTGTGCAAAAGCACCAAATTCACTTTAGTGGTACATCCTAAATTGGTATGCAAGTGAATCGTACCCACAAATAGTGACTGTCTCGAAATGGCCTAAGTCCAACAAAATGTAAGTGAGCATAGAATTGCTGCCCAAAGCCACAAAGAAGAGGCTTCTTGCATTCACCCATATTTTTGAACCTTTTGAAACATCCCCTGCATTAAAGTTGATTGATTGGAAACAATTGATTCATTGTTTTCTTTCTTTCCTGAAGGTTTTTGTAATATGATGTTGGATGACCTCACTAACTCTAATAGGAAAGGAAATTGCATGTATACACCCAAAGCCTTTTTTAGTTCAAACAGAAATGAGGCCAAGTAATCATGAGCCTCCCCCCCACCCTTTTGGAAGCCTACCATAGTTTCAAGTAAGATGCTGCTGAACATGTGTAAAATGTGCAGAACATAGACCTTAATGAATGGATTTATTGGAAGGAAATCCAGTAGCTTTTGAATGCACCAGGCAATACAGTACCTCTCCAGAGACAACACTTAAGTCAGCCTGTGATACAAGTACCAGTACCTACTTGCTGCTAGTGTTGCTGTTACTATAAAATGCATATACAGTGGTACCTCTGGTTACGTACTTAATTCGTTCCAGAGGTCCGTTCGTAACCTGAAACTGTTCTTAACCTGAAGCACCACTTTAGCTAATGGGGCCTCCCGCTGCTGCTGCGCCGCTGCTGCGCGATTTCTGTTCTCATCCTGAAGCAAAGTTCTTAACCCGAGGTACTATTTCTGGGTTAGCGGAGTCTGTAACCTGAAGTGTATGTAACCTGAAGCGTATGTAACCCAAAGTACCACTGTACTTCGTGCACAGCCAAAAACAGTAGATGCACATTTTTGGTAGTCCCTGCTTTCTGTAACTTTTAACAAAACTTTTTTTTAAAGAAAAACAACACCTCCAGGATACACAGGTTTTATCACCCGAATGCAAACTTATATGGTGAGTGAGTAATAAATCACAGCATGTATCTTAAAAAAGAAAACTGTGAACAAGTTTAAATGTTGCTTAAGGAGAAAACAATGACTATACAATATGTGGGACTTGAGCTGTAAACAGCAGTGGTAAAATTGATTTCTTTTGAAAAAAATGTTTTGGTTGCTCTGGAACAGTTAGTTTCAGAAACTGGCACAATCTACCCATAAGCTGATGTGGAGGAATCTATTTTCCTATAAACATTCTCAGTGTCTTTGTTTGTCTTCCTACACAGAGTAGTTTATACCTCCGGAGGTAAAGAAGTATGTGACTGTTTCTCAAACAATGGGGAGACAAAAATGATATGTAAAGGGTTAGCCTAGAGCTGTCTAGTGATGAAACATGAGAGCTAGTAGTGTTCATTTAATTCATTTGAAACACTATGAAATAACAATTGCTTGTTGCATTCATACGGGAAACTTCACTACTTCAGGAACATTGCATTCTAAACCACAACTGATTCTGCAGTAAGTTTACCTTTTAGTACAGATAACTACCATTTTATTTTCATTCATTCATAGAGAGATAAAACTGCCAGTATCTCACACATTTGTCCCAGTGCAGACTTTCCGCTTCATATGTCTGATGGGAGAGGAAGATTTTCAGATGACACTGACAGGTGGAGAAATTGGGTGCCAGCTTTTCCCCAACTGGGTGGGACCCAACTACAGAGAAGAACTTCTGGCAGGTCACAGGTCCTCTGGTGTCATTCAAAGATGGTATTAACTAGAGGCACAGAACCTCTGACCCATATCCAAGGCAAACATGCCTCCTAGAAAGGGTGATCAAATGTTTATGGACAACCGCAACTCTTCCCCTGCCCCAGCCCTCTGGGCAATGCTGATGCTGTAATGAATACCCCAAGGGCAACAGTGGAGGTCAAATTAACTCCCCCACTAGCCTAGGTCTCTGTGTGGAACACCAAGTCCACTTCTTTATCATTAAATTTTTTTGAATGAATTTTGATTTATTGCAGACAGGCTTGGCATTCAGCAACAGCTCCACCAGGTCAGAGGGCGACTGGCATGGCAACTTGGATCCTGAAAGCAAACAGCCAATACCGTGACATATTAATCCTTTTAAGAGGAACAGTTCCCATGTGTGAATGAAGCATTCAGTAGCTTCATTAAATACGTGTGTGTTATAAGATGTCCATCCCTTTTGAGGTTAAATGTGAACAAGGCCTTAGTAGATCTCCTGACTATAGCTTGCTTTTACCGCAGCAGTAATACATATGTAAGGTACTGCTCAAGTACAGTGGTACCTCGGGTTACATACTCTTCAGGTTACATACGCTTCAGGTTACAGACTCCGCTAACCCAGAAATAGTACCTCGGGTTAAGAACTTTGCTTCAGGATGAGAACAGAAATCACGCAGCGGCGCAGCGGCAGCAGGAGGCCCCATTGGCTAAAGTGGTGCTTCAGGTTAAGAACAGCTTCAGGTTAAGAACGGACCTCCGGAATGAATTAAGTACTTAACCTGAGGTACCACTGTATTATTGTTCCTGGAAAGTGTATTACCTGAGCTCCTCAGCACTCCTGTGTGTGACAAACATTTCTCTGGCAGGGTGTGGTGGGTTGACCTCTCTGTGTGCAAAAATATTAATTTTAATTTGAAGAATAGCATTGCTAAGTTTCTTCTCAAAAGCATAAAAACAAAATAAATCAAGGCACAAACTCCTTTTTTAAAAAAGATTTTTTTTCGTTTTTAAAGGAAAGGGAAAAGGAAAATGCACCAGAAATTTTATACAAGTCGGATCAGTTAGTCTCCAGACTGAGGAAATGTCTGTAATTTTAAACTTTGAAAGCAAGAGAAGAATATGTCCCAATATGTTGCAGCTACTTCATGGGAAATTGTGGGGGCTTAGGGACCACAATCCAAGAAGGAAGTCAGGAAAGAGAATAGGCAAAAGGCATGGATAAGAAAACCTGCAGGGCATCCCATTTCTGTCACATGGTTCCCTGCATATTTCGAAAGCCATTGTTTTCTTATTATCGGGTTCCTGCTATTTATTTATTGCCCATCCTTCACCGTTAAGGTCCCAGGGTGGGTGACAGCGTTAAAAACAATTTAAAACAACTTACTAATACTAATACAATTAAATAAATTTATTTTAAAGTTAAATTAATCCCAAACCTTGGATTATCAGGGACTTTCACCGAAAGGTTTTTTGCTTATGATGATGGCAAAGAAAAACTTGAAACAAAGATGCTGAATTTTGGCTGTGTAGTCAAGAAATGTTAACTTTCACTTGAGAAGCCAAGTATCTGGCAAAGCTATTACAGTTATAAAAGTGCTGCGTACTAGTTGACATGACTCAGCAGGAAATACGATAAAACATAAGAAAGGTTTTCTTCTGGGGGAATAAATCTAGTTTATAATGGTCAGTGAAGACAAAATGAATCATAAAAGAGACTCATGAAGTCTACTTTGGTAACCAATATAATGAGGGGTAAGGGCTAACCAGTCTAGACTCCTAGGCAAATTGCCATGTACCAAACGTGATATCCCAAACATTTTAAAAACATAGATTTCTGAGTTGGTCTTTCTTGTACAAAGCTTTGTATTTAGGCATGACCAAAAGTCATATTTTCTGCATCTTTCCATTCGCCTTCCCTGCTCCTCTACCATATTACAGGGGCAAAGAACAGGAAACATATGCAGACAAAGTTAAGTCGAAAGAGAGCCACAGGGAGTAGGAAAATCTCAATGGGTTTGGAAGCTGGAACACATGGGGGAGAAAACATGAAGAAACTGGACACTTCCAATGGAAGGGACAAAAGTTGATATTGAAACCGATAGCTCCAAGTATGGAAGATAAATATGAAATCACATCAGTTCTCATAAACCAGTTTTCATAATTGCTCTTCCTATCACCTTTCTACAAAGTTAGTACCGTTGAGCAAACAGTAGTAGTAAAACTAAGATCTTTCATGTGATTGCTTATGATGGCTTTTTGGTAGTGGGAACAAAATTAATTTATTAATCTTGAACTCTGAAAATAATAAATCCTGCTCTTCAGCCAACAAGGCTCCCAGAGAGGCTCACATAAGATCAATAAACGTAATAACAAATCATTAAACCATACAAACTGTTATGTATTCAGTGGTTTGTGACTTCACAAACTGCACATTGTCTTTAAATAACTTATTTAAAGAGGTGGCAATGATAATACTTCCCTTTGCTTGCTGTTGTTGGTCCTGAAGGTCTCTGTGGCAGACAAAGCTCTTTCAGCTGAGCCCCAAACCAATGGAAAAGAAAGGTCCAATCTCTTTTACAGTATGCTTCCTTTATCATAGTTTCGCAAAGAGCAGGGTACGCTTCAAGAAACAGAGGAGTTGTGTGATACCACACTGTGCTACTTTTACAAGAGAGAATAGATATTTTGAGGCATCAAATAGGGCAGGGGAACCAGTGGCCTTCCAGATGTTGAATGATCACTCCCATCATCCATGACCACTGGCTGGAGCTGATAGAATTTTGAGTCCCACAACATCTGTAAGACCACAGGTGCCCCAGTCCTGAAATAGGGAATTATGTGAAATTGCTAACCATACCTGCTGAGATGAAATGCTCCTTTGCTATTTATAGTAGGACTCTGGGATTGGAAGTGACACAAAGTTTAAAAGGTTGTTTTTCATGTTCAAATGATCCTGATTTGCTGTTGTCTGGCCACAAAAAAAGCCTACAACTGGTGAAGTCATCCCTTGTAAAGGTGTATAAAAAGACCTGGTATTTCTTTACAGATAAATGTTTTTTTTTTTTAAAATTGCACAGTGTAGCATATTTGAGCAAAACTCCAAAATAATCTTAGCCAGTGCTTTTTTTCTAAAAAAAATGTTTAGGGGTATGTTCATTTTGACTCACCATTTTATAGTTCAAATCGGGGAAAATAAATACAGTAAATGGACAAAAGTACAAAGATTCACAAATGTTTAGGGGTATGTGTACCCCCTGCATCCCTCCCAGAAAAAAAGCACTGATCTTAGAATCCTCATACATATTAGTGAAGTTTTATGCCATCTGGAAAAAAATAGAGGCAATAATTATAGTTTTGTAGAGTTATTCAGTGTGGATTCAGAACTCATTTTGTTTAATACTAGGTGGTTTACAAAATGCCTAGAATTAAAGGTAACCACAGAGAATGTGACTCTCTGGATTATTTACAACACATTTTATTTTAGTTTAATGTCATTGCAAGGTTTTTTAAAAAGTAATATATCATTGAAAGAAAAAGCTGTGTGGTTGGGAGGCAAATGAAAATGTAAAAAGGGATGAGGATCAATTTTGGGGTTTCTTTATTTCATCAAGAAGGTATGGAGGTTTGTCAGATTAGTTTTAGTGTGAGGAAATGCTGTATGTACATCAGCTGTAATAATAATAATAATTCAGCAGTTTTCTGTAACCATGTCTGTTCTATTATTGTGCAGTGTTGGGTTCCTTTGGGCATGATGCTATCAGTGACCACCACCACCCCTAACACGAGTAGAGCCTCTGTCATCACCATTGCCCTACATTCCCTCTCCCTCTGACCCCAGTCAGCAGCCCTGCTCTGATGAAAAGGGCAAGCCTAATGCTGGCTCCTCCTCCTGCTTTTCACTTACACTGGGAGAGACCAGGTCAACAAGTAGCAACAGCAAGGAAGAGAAGGAGAGTCAGGAGGCTCTGGGAGTCTGCAGTGGGTTCCTTGCTGGGGTGCGGGCCTTGAAAAAGTGCCTCGGTATCCCAGCTCCTTGCACTGGTCCTGATTGTGTACTTTTCAAGAATGGCTGAAAGCACAGCCACTCTGTTTAATGAGCTATAGTTAACAAAGTATTTTCTAAGCTTGTGTTCTAAGTTCTGATTGCAACCATAAACACCCATAAGCAATGCCCACTCTGTTATCCCATTTGCTATTTATCTTTTGCTTGTAGTATTTTTTCTTCGATGCATTAACAGGCCTTAGAAGTTGGTGCAGAGGGATGGGTGTGGAGAGCTGGCCTCTGAAACTGAGTGGAGTAGAAGGAAGAGAGGGAATTGGGACATTCAAGGGGGAGGTATGTTAGGATGGGAGTGATGAATTGAAGAATTTCTCTACACTCCAGCCATAAAATCTGACAGGCACTAGCTAGCACTGTTCAAGAACACAATGCTTCCTCAAAATATAGTAAGATAAAATTGTCTCTCATATACATACTTAATGACCCACATCAACAATGGCTTGTGTTGGCTTCCCAGTGTTTATGAAGCTCAGCTAATCCCACATGGGTCTGCTCACATTAATCAAGGACCAAGACACTTCTTCAGATACAAACTTGCTGAGTATTGCAGCCAAAGCCTAACTAAATGCAATACCCCAACAAAACAGCAGCAGTCATTCCACAAGAGCTACTAAATGCAACAAACATTTATTTCCTCCTCTTTTCTCTTTTCTCTCTGTATATTCTTTATCTACCAATAGCAGGCTGCATAATACTAAAGCAGTATTGTTAGCAGTTGAGAGGCTCTACGCACAAACTACTGTTGCAGACAGGCGTGGCATTTAGCAGAAGAGGTTGCTTAATATTGGCAATGACAACTAGTGTTACAAAATCTCTGCTTCTTTCCCTGTTTAGGATAATGGACCTGTTCCAAATAGGAGACCAGCGACATTTTCACCTGGAGGAAGTCCAACAGACAACAAACAGATATCGAACGTGCAGTACAATAACCCCACGCGGCTATATACAAACAACAATGCAGATTCCAGTTTACCATCACAGATGAGTAGTCTGCATATCACATCTCCCCACAGGTATGAGAGTCAAACAAGACATGGTGATGGAGCTTATTTTTATGAATAGCTGCTGTGGGTGGGGAGAGGGCTACACTGTGGCAGCAGGGAGGTTAATCCCTTCTCTTGGACTATTCTTTCAATGAAAATTGCATGCAGCCACCTCAAATACATACTCACTGCTTTTAAAATACCATTACGGTAGGCACCAGGAATGGTTTGCAGAAAGAGTCAAACAGGGAACTAATTAGCTGGAGTGGGTGGGAGGAGTGCCTGAAGGGTGCTGGTTGAAGGGGGGGTTACTCTTTGCATTTTTATGTAGGAACATAAGTAGAGCCTGATGGATTAGGCCCACCCAGTCCAGCATCCTAGTGTCACAGAGGCCAACCAGATGGCTATAGGAAAACATGCAAGCAGGCCATTTGGTTTGTGAGTGGTGTATATGTGAACAGGACAAATGTAAGAGCGAAAGCGAAAACTGCATCCACAAATTTGCATGGGTCTCTATTTATTTATTTCAAATTTGAACCACTGAAAATATTTACAGCATTTTGAGTTGACATTTGCATCCAAAGCCTATGCATTGTTTACTCAGAAATGTATTTAAAGGGGTTTACTTCCAAGAAAGCATGTATAGGATTGCAGTCATTGTGTGGCTGGATGGGGGAGAGGGAAAGAATCAGATGCTCTCTAATATCTAAATATATGGTTTCTGTTAGAGGCATGTTTTGAAGTAGGCACTTCAAAAATTCCAAGAGAGAAGGACACCTTGCCAGTTACTGGGCTCCTGTTGGAAACAGTTTCCTCATTTCTTAAATCCACTGTTTCCCTGTGGTACATTCACTTCCTTAGTGAAGCTCAAGAAGTGTACATATACAGTGGTACCTCGGGTTAAGTACTTAATTCGTTCCGGAGGTCCGTTCTTAACCTGAAACTGTTCTTAACCTGAAGCACCGCTTTAGCTAATGGGGCTTCCTGATGCCGCTGCGCTGCTGGAGCACGATTTCTGTTCTCATCCTGAAGCAAAGTTCTTAACCCGAGGTACTATTTCTGGGTTAGCAGAGTCTGTAACCTGAAGCGTCTGTAACCTGAAGCGCATGTAACCCGAGGTACCACTGTATAAATATACCAAATTATTAGGACCAAAACACTGCCACAAAAGGGACCCATTCATGCAAAAACATACCCATTTCATTTGAAGAAAACAGCTTGTTTAATTTGCTAGAACATACTGTTAAAATGGAATTTTAAAACATTTTTTTTTTTTAAAAAAAGGCTGCTTAGGGACAAATAGATGAAATTCACACTGGAAAGACAAATGTGAGCACTAAAGAATCATCATAAAGTAGGATTGCCAATAAAAGTGCTAAATCTCATGTTTAGGGGCCTTCAAAGCAAATTTGCCCTAAGGCTGCTTTGTGCATTTTAAGAATGAGCACAGGAAGCTGTTCAGAGATGGCAGAACACATACATTGGAATGACTGCCCCCCTCCCCTGCACACAGTTCTGGGAGTTCTCCCGACCCACACAAGCCAATTTCAGGGGGCCTGGAGGGGAAGGAGAGGTTACGTGAATCCCACCCCTAGTATTTTAGCATTGTTTAAATCTTGAGGCTTTTTAATAAATATATATTATGGGTACTTTAGAAAATGTGGACTAATCCAAGAGGAAATGTGCTACAAGGAAGTATTCTAAGATTTTTTTAAAAGTACCCTTGAGACCATGTTTGGCAAAAAAAACATACAATGCCCTAACTGCCAGATATTTTTCAATGGTTGGGTGGCTTCCAGGTTCTTCAGTAATTTAATTTAATGCATTAAAAAAAGATCCATGTGTGGCATAGTAATTCACAATGAATAGCAGCAGCTGGCCTGTCTGTGGTGCGTATGTTCACAGGTCACTCAAGCCCCACTGCACAGGGGCAAGTAGAGTATGGCTACAAAGTTTGTCCTTCATAGTCTCTACAATGATCTCTACATTAATAAAAAGCTAGTTAAGGAAAAGGAAGCATTGTTAACTAAATCCCCATTAAAATAAGCATAGGGTTTGCTTATGGGTGACTTATGGGTATTCAGTGCGCTGTTGCCTTGTGATGCAAGAAGCACTAGAAAATTTTGTTTAAATAACCCCTCACAGTTCACAAGGGATTAACTCCCCCCCCCAAAAGAACTGATTTTATTTCTCTAGTGTACAACAATCCTTTGACCTTCATTTTGTATTTAAATAGTGCTGACCCTTTGAGGTCCCTACCAAGAAGCAGAAACGGAATTGACATGGACTCAGATGTGTACAAAATGCTGCAGGATTATGAAAGACCAGTTTCAGAACCCAAGCAGTCAGGATCTTTCCGATATCTGCAAGGCATGTTGGAAGCAGGGGAAAATGGTAAGGAACACATGTTCATTTCAAAAAAAATGTTTAATATTCCCCCCCCCCATACTTTATTTTAAATTTCAAAGGTGCTTACAAGGAGTAACTGTGCCCATGAAGGACCAGGTGCACAGCCTGGCACATGGGCAGCTGCCCAGGGCAGCTGTCTACCAGCTCCATCTGGTATGCAGGCTGAGACCCTATCTGCCCGCGGACTGTCCTGCCAGAGTGGTGCATGCTCTAGTTATCTCTCAGTTGAACTACTGCAATGCGCTGTATGTGGGGCTACCTTTGAAGGTGACCCAGAAACTACAACTAATCCAGAATGCGGCAACTAGCCTGGTGACTGGGAGTGGCTGCCGGGACCATATAACACCAGTCCTAAATGATCTTCACTGGCTCCCAGTATGTTTCTGAGCACAAGTCAAAGTGTTGGTGCTGACCTTTAAAGCCCTAAATGGCCTCAGCCCAGTATATCTGAAGGAGTGTCTGCACCTCCATCATTCAGCCTGGTCACTGAGGTCCAGCTCCTTATTATTATGTGGCTACGATTCCATGGCTGCTCTTTGTTTGGGGCACAGCTAAAAGCAAATGGGATGGAGGAGGGAGACAAGGAAAGAAAAGGTGAATGTGATCAGACACATATGTAGACTCTTCTGTTGCCCTTCCTATACTGCCAGTGTACTTCTGAATGTGTCTTACAAGTCCTACAAGCAGTTTCAAATTGTGCTGAACTGATTAAAAAGAAGATTTTAAAATTTTTATGAGAGAGAGAATTACTCTCACAAAAAAACCCAGGGCAACTAACAGTATCAATAATTCAACTAATGCAACACTGTTAAAGTCACAAATACATGTTAAAATGCAATGCAACAGTCATTGATAAAATAGGCAAATAGAGCCACTATGTTCTGAAGGTCTGCATAAATAAATGAGTTTTTAGCTGACACCTGAATGAAACCAATGTGCAGGACAGCCAAGTCTCCCTTGGGAGAGGGTTCCATCTGCTTTATAAATATGATGGAAGGGACACTTTCTGGAATGATGACACCCCATGCATTGTTTGTACTTATATGATTTAATTTTAATTTATCAATTTTCTTACGTGGATTTCTATTTCTCTTGCTTTAAAACTAAATCTTCAATTCGTCTAACCTCTCTGATACAAAGCCACTTATGAAGTACCTATGCGCAATCCCAAAGAAGTTAAGAAACTCCTTAGAATGTTATTTTTTCTCTCCCAGGAGCTCTAGGGTCTTTTCTTTTCTTTTTTTAATGAGCAGCAACACACTGTGTCTCTAATAAGAAATGTTTCCTGCAGGGAATCAGACAGGATTTGTAAGGCAACATAACAGTTACCCAGCCATGAAAGATGAGCCCTCAAACCACAAAGCAGAGAAAAGAATGGTTGGGGTTGTTCAATCACTTTTTACAGAGTTTTGTAGCTGCCTAGTTGAGAAGTTGAGGGACATAAATTTGGGGGCGAGAAGCGTGGGCATGCAGAAACAAAGGAGAAAAACAGCCAGCATTACTTTTAAACTCCTTCCTCACTCCCTAAGCTGGTGAGGAGACTTTTCACTGAGTGCTCTGTAAATTGCCTGCCATTCTGAAGCCTTTATCATTGACTAGAGCTTCTGGGAACCTTTGCGGTAAATGTATCAAGAAGCTACAGTCACCTAAAGCAAATTAGTTGAGTGAATTTACTTCAAAAAAGAAGGCAGCAGGGATCGTGTGGCAGATGTTGGAGTCCCATCAGTCCTAGTCTGCACAGCTAATAGTCATGAAGGGAGTTGTAGTTCAGCAACAGCTGGAGGGCTACATTTCTTTAAACCATATTTAATGTTACAATGCAGCTATCATAGTGCTGCTTCATTATGTCATGTTTAAATGAAAGTTTAATGTAAGTGTCCTATTTTGAGTTTATTCCCTACCAAATTCCTTTTTTAAAAAAGCACTGTGGTGAATTTCCAAATATACGCACTTGTGTGAATATATACATGAGAATTACAGGATGCATTAATAGCTTGCCAACATACCCCTTTGTACATAAAGATTTCATTGCTTCCCTTTTTCTGGTTGTTTTTGAACACATATGAAGCAAAACCGAACGCCAAGAAAAGAGCCAGTGTCTAACATGCTGCCTTACTTTTGTTACAGACTCTTAAAGGTCTTCCTGAGTCATGACATTCAATAAAACAAATAAATCTCTCAAGTAGTAAAAGTGCACTTTAGCAGTGTTATTGCTGGGCTTTCCCCCCCTTGCACAGCAAAAGGTTTTAAGCTTTTTTCCATGGGGTTGAGCATATATCAAAATCTTACTAAGTTAGACAATGTCTTTTGTTCTTCTATGGTTTCATGTATGTGCCTCTTTTGTACCAGCTCTCATTCTTTTTCCTTGGCACGCTTCCCATTGAAAGGTCAATCTCTGGTTTATCCATTTAAATCAGAGCTCATATGTTTGCATGCCTTTTTATTATTCTTATGGTCATTCCATCATTTCATTTTTTCAAGTACTGTTGTGAGCATATGGAGCCTGCTTACCTAACACTACTAGGATCAGAGCACTTACAGCCCCAGCCTAACCATGCTCACTCAGAAATAAATCTCACTGATTCCAAGAAAATTTACTTCCAGGTAATGATACTGTGGAGTGCATCCTTTGTCAGAGTTTAAGCATAAATCACCCCTTCAGTTGAGAAGCTTGTGTGTTAGCAACATTCCACATCCCTTAAACAGATAACTCCAAAAACGCCGTCTTAAATTCTTGGCAGGTGAAAAACATGACAGGCTGACGAGTCCAAGACATGTTAAATCTCCAGTATCCAAATTGGGTGGAGCCATGCCTGGCTTACAGATGCTCCCCGAGTGCACCAGATGTGGCAATGGAATTGTGTAAGTACAGGAATCTCCGCAAGAGCCTTGATGTTTAATATACCGTACTTTTCCATGTATAAGACAAGGGTTGTTTTTTTACGTTGAATTAATGTGTAAAAATTGGGGTCGTCTTATACATGGGTAGTGCTGTGTTGGGACAGGGGAATGGTTGCTGCCGTGAGCAAGAGATTGTCAGCGGTGGCTGTGCGAGTGATTGATGGCTGTGACATGGGCTTGGATTGATGGGCTGCTGCTGGCGGCGAGCGGTCGAACGTTTGGTGTTTTTTGTGTCGCGTGCAATAGGAAGCGTTATTCAGGCGGGTGAGTGATTTTCAGCAATTCCCGCCCCCCGTAAGAAGCTCAAGAACTCTGGGCAATCCTCCCCCCAAAAAAGCTCAAGAACTCTGGGCAATCTCCCCCCATTTTCTATATTTTGAGTCCCCCAAAATAGGGGCGTCTTATACACGGAAAAGTACGGTACTTTTTGGTAAAGCTAAATAAGGAACACACCACCTGCTTAACTGTAAAATCTTGTTATAATGTAATTCCATAAGGCAATGTTACTTGAAGAGGGGGGCAGAGACTTACACATGTAACATGGCATTTGTGCTGCATGTTACAACGAGCTTTTAATATTAATAAGTGTTATTCTCTTGATCCAAAGCCACTTGGTTGCTCCAAAGTGCACATGGAAGCTCCATACAAGAAAGAACTGTCCTGCTCACTTACATGTCTAGCAGTGCTTCACACACAGCATAAAGGGCAAGCCACTAATAAAACCTGAAATGAATCGTAATCGTTTGAAATGTTTGCATCCTAATCTTATCTTCTTTCCTGTGACAGTGGCACAATAGTGAAAGCCCGTGACAAGCTCTACCACCCAGAATGTTTCATGTGTGACGACTGCGGCCTCAACTTGAAGCAAAGGGGCTACTTCTTCATTGAGGAACAGCTGTACTGTGAAATGCATGCCAAGGAAAGGGTTAAGCCGCCAGAAGGATATGATGTGGTTGCTGTTTATCCCAATGCTAAAGTTGAACTTGTCTAAATAGATACTCTTATTTCCTGGAGAGGTCAAGAGGTGGCACACCCACCCACAGGCACAGGCACTGTTTTAAAGCATGGCTGTAATCAACTCTGATTATTCAAGTCTCAGTAAAATGTCTTTTCAGAGATAAAATGGTTTGCACTTGGGATCTCAAGGGGATAGTGCTGAAAGGCCTCTGAAAAGGATTTCTCTCTCCTTTTGACACTTGCTTTTGGGTTGCTGTGTTGCTGTTTGGGTGGGTTCTGTTTTGTTTCATTTTTTTACTGCACATAGTTTCCATCATACCCCAGTCCAAAACCTGTGTAAATATGGGTGCTTTTTAAAACACTGTTTCATATAAAACCAGTATTTCTTTTACTCTGGACTCAGCTCGACTGGTAAAGAAAAGGCGATTTATATGCCTTGTATGTGCGATATAACATTGTGTCACCAGGTGGCGACGTGGAGTCCAGTTTTTCTCTATCTGTTTTCCCTGTTTAAATTTACAACATTTTAAAACTGAAACGCTTCTTTGATGTGTCTAGATCCAGCCTCTGTCTCATTATAAAAGATAAAGAAGACTGCATGAAAGCTCCATGAAAAGAAGGCACTTTAAGAAATGACATTGACATTTTACATGTTAAAGCGTTGCATCACATTTACTTTTGTCAGTAATAGAGATATGCCACAAAGATTGCTTTGTGGCTTTCAGAGTGATAGAAAACTGAGGCCACGTGTAATGAGAATTTTAAATATGAAGCTGGCTGCATGAGTTTCACCAAGAAACTTGGGAATGAACAGGTAAAGGACTCGTAAGAACACAAATATATATATAAAAGGTAATGTCCTGGTTGCCACTTCCAAACAATACTATTTATTACATATAAGACTAATCATTAAGATTTATCATTCTGGCGATATCTGTCAATAGCAGCTAGAGCTATCCACTGGGGCTTGTGCTCCAATACTGCCTTTCTTGTGATACCAGAGAAAATATCCTGGGAAACCCAATGGATGGTCCCCCATTGACTGGTAGTAATGAACAGGTTGGAGACCCTGTTAAGTTTCCTCAGGTCTTTCCAGATCAAGGGGACCCTAATATAATTTCCATTGTGGCACCAAACTATAACTGTGTAAACCACTGTTGTGCCCTGCATAAAAATGTTTAAGAAAGATTTCACATATATATATTGTACATGTGGTTTTCTCTCTCTCATCTTTGAGAAAGCATGGCTTCTTTTGCAGATATTCTTGGTTACTGAATCATCTAGGCACCTGCATTTATTCTTTCTTTTTCTTTTTTTTATAAAACTTTGAACAAAGGGCTTTACACGCCAGCCATAAACACTTTACTTAAAACTGCTTTCAGATACAATGAAGTTGACCTGGTCAACACTATGTGCAGAACATCTACATCCAGCCTAGGATGAAAAGAAAAATAATTCATTCCAGATTCTGTTTTTAGGGCAAGGCATCAGACCTAAGTATCATAGACATTTAGGAGCTTTCAAGACAATCATTGTGTAGCACAACAATTGCACATTTGTTATTCATTTATTACATTTGAAATTGTCATGATAGACACAAATTGTTCATTTCTTGAGAGGAATTATGTCATCACCAATCCTGATTACAGAGCTATTGGGGGAGGGAACCCCTGCAGTTTTTGAAAAGAAGGATATGACCGAGACCTTACAGAAGTCAACTCCTGAACTCAAGTATAAACAATCCAGATGTGAAAATGAGGGTGGAGTGCTCAGTGGCCCTTGTGCTCTCCGAAACAGTGATTGCCCTGGGCAGCCAAACTGCTAATCCTAAGTGTAAAGGAGAGGAAATAAACTTTCTATGTCTAAATGTTTAAGCCTCAACTGCATTTTGGCAACAGCTTATACACCATTTTTTAAAAAGACAGAATGCATTACATCTTAGGCAATACGGTCACTTTATGGAAGCAGATCCAGTATGATGTAGTGGTTCAGAGTTGGGAGGCCAGGATTAAAATCCCCACTGAGCCATGCAGCTTGCTCTGTGACCATGAGACAGTCGCAGACTCTCAGCCTAACCAACCTTACAGGGTTGTCATGAGGATAAAGTGAGAATGGAGTCAACCATGCAGAATACCTTGAGCTCCTTGAAGGAAAGGCGGCATATAAATGTAAATCTCTAATGAAACCATTGGCATATTCTGTTCAGTGGAAGGCTCTGCACAAGTAATGCTATGAGTCCAATTCCTAGTTAAGTGCTAGGCACGTGCAATACCAAAAAATATAAAGAATGATCCATCAAGCTTTGTATCAGCGATATTGTTTGGCTCTTTGAGGGGGCATATGCTTTTCTCAAAACACAGAAATATAAGAAATTCAACCAGGACTGCTTAAATCCCGTCCCGCCCCCCAAGATGGGAATGACGGGAGAGTTCACTGTTTGCCATACTAGATTTATGGCAGCGGAACATCAATAGAACTCAGGGTGGAGAAAGGCAACACTCACAGCATTATTATCCAAGGGTTCCACTATGTGGCCTGCAAGTATAAATTCAAAATAATAATAATAAGCAATTAAGGTTTTGTGCAAACAGAACGGTTCCATTTGTTTTAGGAACGATAAACTCCTACACCAAAGGGAAAGACGTGTACTTTGCTTAGAAACAGTATTGCTTGTCCATTTCACAAACACCATTGCTAGTAAGAACAAGTGTGACTCCACGTTGCTCTGTGTAAACAGGTATAATATAACTTAATTAAGAGGAAAAAAGGTGGCACCAAGCTAAAAAATAATTGCGTGCTGTTAGTTAATCCATATTGCTCTTTACAGTGAATACAGTTCTGTGTTTTCTTCCCAGTTACCTTAGCTAATTAAACAGATGAGGTTCAGCTCATTGATTGATTAAATATGCACAAAGTTGTACAGTATATGCAAAATATTAGATCTAAAAAAGCATACCGTCATTGCCTTTGGATGATGTATACATCTGCCACAACAGGGATAATTTTCAAAGAAGTCATTCTTCCTCCCAAAAAGGACTCCTCTTATGGCCATACTTGTCATCTGCAGTTCTTATAAAGAGCTTCTATTAAAAATAATTTCAGTTTTTAAAATTCTTTTGACCCATTAATTGGTGATTCCTTTTTAGTCGGTCAACATTTTTGTCGATTAATCTAACTGATTTACTAAGCATTGGAGCCATTAATATTTTCACATTATATCTTAGCAAATCTAATATCAGGTGATCTTTGAAATTCTACTTTGAAATTCTCGTAAACACATTGAAGGCAGCTTTGCCACCAATGAAGTTTAAGTTTGCTGGTCTAGGGGTTTTTTGTTGTTGATGATGGATCCGTATCAGTACAAATGAACTGAAAAATTATAAATGTTTATCATTTATTAATAGCATAAAAATATTGTTGCTGTTTTATTTACTGGTTGCTAAAGGAAACATGTTTCTTTGAGATAGTCATGAACATTCGTTTTAATTTTGTTTAACAATGTTGGTCCTCAAGGACCCAAGCTATTTTTTTGTGGGTTTCTATATTAACTAGCACTGGAAAATGCATCTTATGAACCTCTGATTTTACATACTGGTTATGTACATTTCTTTTCTTTTCAATAACAAATACACAGTATATTCCCTTTGCGAGGTAACTGGTCATTCCTAAGCAAACCTGTCCTTAAAGTTTATCTTCCATCTTTCATTCATTGCCATTAGAAAGTAAGCTCATTAATCTTGTATTGTAGGAGCTAGAATATATTGGGGGGGATTTATTGAAATTAATGTTACAAAGTTTGTGTGCCACCCCCAATCTCTGCTGAGTGGTAGCAAGATTCCAGGTGGTTCTAGGCCAGGGGTCAGCAAACCTTTTCAGCAGGGGGCCACTCCACTGTCCCTCAGACCTTGTGGGGGGCCGGACTAAATTTTGAAGGGGAAAAAAGAATGAATTGCTATGCCCCACAAATAACCCAGAGATGCATTTTAAATAAAAGGGCACATTCTACTCATGTAAAAACACACTGATTGCCAGACCGTCCGCAGGTCCGATTTAGAAGGTGATTGAGCCGGATCCAGCCCCCAGGCCTTAGGTTGCCTACCCATGTTCTAGGCACTCACCCAGGGTTGCGTTTCAAATGGGAAATCAAGGCACAGTGGAGACTTTATTGTGGCCATATTTACCCGTGGGTCTACTTTGAGAGAGTTCAGAGCATTACATCTCAAGAGGAGCTTGCTCTCCCAGCAGTGCAGCAGTGGATTCCCAAGGCATCCATGCCTCTGTCCCAGCCTGCCAAGATGGCTCTGCCTTCACAGCAGCTCATGGAGTCCTCCCCCTTCTTCCCCAACCTCTACATTTCAAAAGGATGCATTTTTCCTGTGTAACCTCTCCCTCCCATCTTTGCTATTTACCCAGAGCACAGGCAGAGGGTCAATTGTCCATTGATGGCCCTTGTCCCCAGGTGATTTCCTGGTTTAGTGTACATTTTAAATCTAAGGTCTGGCACCCAGGAACTTTAGGTGATCCTTGCCCCCTGCAAACCCATGACAATAATATCAAAGCTCTCATTCGTACAGCTAGGACTTTGCCTTCAGTTGTAATCCTGGAATTCTATTGAGTGACTGCCTCTGGCAAACTTTTTGCAACATCGACTTGTGGCATTCTCCCTATGATGGCAATAACATGATTTTACAGGAGTTGATGGGAGGCCCTGCCACCCATATGCCTTGCTATAATCTTTTACAGAAATGCAAAGTTTTCTTTTTAATCAAATCTGCTTCTCTTTCACCAGACCTCGAGTCCCTTCCTCTCACTTGAAACAATTCTTTCTTTCAGGAATTCACAGCATGGTCCCATACAATAAAAAGACACAACCATATGTTTCACCATGTTTGCTCGGACTATGGAGACCCTGTTTCTCCTTCTCCTTCTTACATATGTTTATTATCTGTTTAAAAGCTACAAACGCCAATCGTATATCTCATTTTCATCGTACTTATTTTCTCATTACTCAGCTATTTGCAGCAAGAGAAGAAGAGCACTAAAAGGCCCCCATCTAATGCATGTGTAATAATACTCATATGGTTACTTGACAGAAAATAGGAAATAGTAGAAGTTTGTAAACAAATGAATCCACCTACATCTTGGTCAGAGAATGTGTCACAAGCCTCATGCAACCAGCTTTTTGTCATATAATGTGAGATCTACATTTTTGACATGTCAGACCAGTGCCTTTTGTTTCCTACTCAACCCCATTTCTAAGGCCATTTTTCACTCAGTAGGTTCCACCGTCTACCTCACATGTGTTACAATAGTACTAAAATATGTACCCATCTTAGAAATTCATAAGTGGTTCCATTACCCCTGAATCCAGAGATTATAAATCACAAAAACCTGTTCGTGTAGGTATTCTTTGGCGATCTTTCTCAGACTTCTTACAAATAACAACACTGGCAAAGAAACAAAACATTCCTGGGCTCCCATCTGAACACACATTCTTTTAGGAATCAGAATTTCCACACATTTTTCTCCTGGCTACGTGTTTTTTTTAATGAGTTGACAACTCACCAGATTTTCCCAAGGCACATCAAGAGAGCCGCCTTGCACAGTAACATCCTGTAGCTAACTGGCTTCTTTCTAGATGTACCGTATTTTTTGCTCTATAAGACTCACTTTTTCCCTCCTAAAAAGTAAGGGGAAATGTGTGTGCGTCTTATGGAGCGAATGCAGGCTGCACAGCTATCCCAGAAGCCAGAACAGCAATAGGGATTGCGGCCTTCGCTGCACAGCGATCCCTCTTGCTGTTCTGGCTTCTGAGATTCAGAATATTTTTTTTCTTGTTTTCCTCCTCCAAAAACTAGGTGCGTCTTGTGGTCTGTTGCGTCTTATAGAGCGAAAAATACAGTAATTTTCTTGTGCTGTGTTGAACTTGTCACAAATTACAAAAATGAGAATGCAGCTTTACAAACCTCTGCCAGCACAACTGAGAAATAATCTTTTTTTATTATTGTTAAGTGGCTGCTTAGTAATGCAGCAAATCATTTTTAGGGAGACAGTTCATAATAGGCTTTAAATGTATTACTAGTCCTTTGGGCTATCAAATTAATTGTGAATGGACAATTAACTTTATCACAACAACAGAGGCCATAACAATCTTTCAACAGTATATCATATTCTATATTTGTACACTGAGGAATGCTGCATGTGGTACATACATTCCAGTCCACCTGGGCCTTGCCACCACTATTAATCTATTTTTCTTTGATTCTGAACACATATTTAACGTCTATAACAGGAATTCCTCTTGAATAATAGAAAAGCAAATAAAAACATGTAAACAGACCTGAAACATTCTGAATATATAGTGCAGCTTACTATCTAATGTATATATACCTTTTTAACACAATTGACTGGTTCTTAATAACTGTTAGGGTTTTGCAGCAGGCAGCTGTTCTGAAGCACTGAATGCGCCAGTGGTCTTCATCCAGATGTTAACAGGCAAGTGCCCATATTACATTCAATCATATGTGAGGGGAAAGATCAGGAAGGAAATGTGCGTAAAGGCCATGTCCATAGCACAGTACAGTGGTACCTTGGTTCTCAAACTTAATCCGTTCCAAAACCGAAGCGCTCCAAAACCAAGGTGCGCTTTCCCATAGAAAGTAATGCAAAACAATTTTTTCTTCCCTGCACTGATGGTAGTCATTGTTTAGATGGGGGGGGTATCTATTTCCATAGTCACACAATCAATCAATCAATCAATAGCTGAACTGGGTTCCACACAGTCACAAAAACATATTAACTGAAAAAGCCTCAAAGACAAAAACAGCAAACATAATCCGTTCTGGAAGTCCGTTTGACTTCCGAAATGTTTGAAAACCAAGGTGCAGCTTCTGATTGGTGCAGGCTCCCCAGAAACAATAGCCGACAACCACACCAGATGTTCAGATTCCAAAAATCGTTCAAAAACCGGAACACTTACTTCCAGGTTTTCAAGTTTGAGAACTAAAGCGTTTGAGAACCAAGGCATTTGAGAACCAAGGCACCACTGTACATACTTGCTGCTGCAGCATGTCTGTGAGTGAAAGAAACAGGAATAGCTAGACTTGGCATCATGAAACGAAGACAATTGTTTATATATGCTCCTGAAAGCAGCAGACTTAGCAAAATAAAAACCATGAGGTGGGAATCACCTGTTGTGTTAGGGTAGCAGGAAAACAGGCAAGGCTTGAGTAGGTCTTTGAAATGCAGCTCTCTCTTATTGCTGCATTTCATCTCTGGGCTAAACTCCACCTATGAACATGCAGACTACAGGAGTTCAGAAGCTCCAATGAACACTAATACTGAATCACAGTGTCACCATATATTCAACGAGACCAACCAAAGTGCAGCTAACCTAAAATACTCAAGATGTGTAGGACAATCCTGTGCATATTTACTTAAAAGTAAGTTGCAGTGTGGGACGTGGGTGGCGCTGTGGGTTAAACCACAGAGCCTAGGACTTGCTGATCAGAAGGTCGGCGGTTCGAATCCCCATGACGAGGTGAGCTCCCGTTGCTCGGTCCCTGCTCCTGCCCACCTAGCAGTTCGAAAGCACGTCATGTGCAAGTAGATAAATAGGTACCGCTCCAGCGGGAAGGTAAACGGTGTTTCCGTGTGCTGCTCTGGTTCGCCAGAAGCGGCTTAGTCATGCTGGCCACATGACCTGGAAGCTGTCTGTGGACAAATGCCGCCTCCCTCGGCCTATAGAGTGAGATGAGCGCACAACCCCAGAGTCGGTCACGACTGGACCTAATGGTCAGGGTTTCCTTTAAGTTGCAGTGTGTTTACTGTTTGTGGACCCATGGAATTTACTGCCAGGTAAGTGTGGACAGGAAGAAGCTGATTTCGGCTGCAATATCCTGGGAATGTGAACACAGCTTGTGTGTGTAACCAGCAGTATATTGAGAAGCCCCCATCCACCAATGGCAGGAGGAAAGAAACCTGATGTGTTAGGGGAACCACAAAATTCACCAAATCATTATTTCAGACAGCAAAAGGCATTCTAGTTTGGGAGAAATTGTCAGTTTCTGAGCTCCTCCTGGGCTGAAAGAAACACTGTAACTGTGGCAGAGCAGCTATCTTGAGGGAAGATTTCAGAATCTTTGGAATGATAGTTGTAGATTTATTGTACTATAAACCGATGGTCTGGAAAAACTCCTAAAATGGGTTATGGGTTGAGCTTTTGAAACTGCACAGATTACAGGAGTACGGGAGCTACAACAGAGTTCAACATAAGGCTTCCAGGTGAACACACATAATGATCACCATTGCAGCCCCTTCCACAAACTTCATTATACAGTGCTATCTCAGGTTAAGTACTTAATTTGTTCCAGAGGTCCGTTCTTAACCTGAAACTGTTCTTAACCTGAAGCACCACTTTAGCTAATGGGGCCTCCTGCTGCTGCTGCGCTACCGGAGCACAATTTCTGTTCCCATCCTGAAGCAAAGTTCTTAACCTGAAGCACTATTTCTGGGTTAGTGGAGTCTGTAACCTGAAGCGTATGTAACCTGAAGCGTATGTAACCCGGAGGTACCACTGTACTATGTATCTCGTTCACTGCTCATACAAATGTCTACACTGTGACAAAATATATTTTGAAAGTCAGGGGTGACCATCTTCCAACATATTTGCATGTTGCAGAGGAGCAGAAATCACAAGATAAAGAGGAATTGCCACCAAATGCAGCTTTTATTCTTGAAATCAAAATAACCCCCCACCAAGACAGTCCTCCAAATGGGCTTGAGGCAGATAGCATTTGTGTTGCATTGCTACCTTGGTCTCAGCCACACATGTACAGATGTCTTCCTGCACAATACATCCCCATTCAAGAGGGCAGCTTGTCATTGTCCAAAAAGTCACTTCATATTGGATGTGGCGATAAATGTTCAACCGTACACGGCATTTGCTATGTAGCCCTTGCCTAATTTTGGCCCATTGTGGAGAAAATTTCAGAATAGTACATCTCATCAAAATCTGAGCGCTCAAAATTAAAAATAGTAGAGCCTATCCCCTCCTGTCTCTCTTTGTGAATATTGTCAAAAGAAGATTATCCTAGGAGTTTTCAAGGAGAGGCTGCAGGGCATATCAGGGATGCTACAGCAGTGGATTTCATTCACCAGCAGGTGATTGAACTACATGGACTTCCAACGCTATGATTAGAGGTGTAGGAACCCCAAATGTGGTTCAGACAAGTCCTCTATGCTCTAATCTGGGCCAATTTATCTGTCAACTGAGAAATAGCATAGGAGAAGTGTGATGTGTCCAATCGATTTAACAAATGCAATGAAGCAAGAGCTGTACATAATGTTCCAACTGTGGGTGTGCCTGCCACACGACGTCTCATATGCCCTATGCAAGAAGGATTTGTGTGCTAATTAAGCAGGGCTATCACTCAAGTAAAGAGATGTTAATGAGTTTTAATAAATGATTCACTTAAATGTCTTTTTTCTATTAAAGGGAAGATTTATTTGTTTGTTTCTAGATAATGCACACATGTACCACAGCAACCAAACAGAAATCATTAGGTCCACAGCTACATAAGTATTAAAATGGAAAAAGTAAATTGCTAAGCATGTTGAGGGACTTTAAAGACTTTTTGCCTGTGTGAACTGGAGCTTTTCACATGGTACCTGTGCCATGTGCAACGGTTGTGAAGGCAGAAGATAGCATGGTTGTACACTCCCACCGATATAGGTTTTTCCAATTCCATTACAGAAGGCGGCTGCCCCAAAAGCACATCAGCCACTCATGTGAAAATGCCCTTTGATTTAATGAGCTGTCTCCCTAATATAATAAGCCCCTGTTACAGACACTGGAACAAGTTCATAAACTCCAGATAGCAACTGGCAGCTGGGAGCAGAGACACAAGACTGGCTCTTTGCCACTTTTTACCATGCCAGGACTGAGCGCCAAGGCCTGGTACAGACTGGTGAGTTTAGCCCACAGAAACAGTCCTGACTTGCTCCCCCCCCCCCCTGATTTTGCTGGGAAAGGACAAGCTATTGTTTCCCTCAAAGCAATTCCCTGATGCAACTAATAAGCTTTCAAAGGGGATCAGTCACACTTGGCACTTCATGGCTACTTGCTGGGCCACGACAGTTGCGTTTTTTCGCTCAGGATTGTTTGCAGTATCTTTTCCCCAGGGCCTCAAGGTAAGGCATACCAGATATGCTTCTGTGCTTTCTCTTCCACCCTAACCCCACTCTCATTCTGCGCACACCGAGTAAATGATCACAGCAGCTCCTTGATGACCAGGCTTGCCTTACATAAAGCTGGCTGGGTTTCTCAGAGGCCCTTCCACCGCTTCATGTTTGACTACACTGTGCTGCCTCAGTCTCTATTCCTGCCAGTTTACTTCTTTCTTTAATTGTTTCTGACTAAGAGGAATGTGGGACAACATCCGAGGCCAGCCAGGACAGGATGCCAAGAAAAGGAGGGGGGGTATTAAAAGGTTAGACTACGCACTGCTTCTCTTGGGAGAAAATTCAAGCCTAAGGGATAAGGGGGTTTCCATTCGGCCTCACAGCCAGATTGCTCCAGCAAAAGAGTTTGAGTTCACTGAACTGACCGGGCCTGATATGGATTTGAGCAACCAGTGCAGAGTTTTGCCACATTCCAGGACCTCAGAACTGGGTGGCCTGGTCTGCATATCATGCAAAACATTTGCCGTTGATGCAAAACTTTTATTCCGATATTGTATGGGAAATGCACTTTATGAGTTTTTAACATTAAAAAATGAAATGCGTCTGCGTGCCATTCAATCGAGCGTGAGGCTTCTGCCTTCAGTTAAATGCTGGATTTGGGCCTGGGGAAATTAAACTTTGCTGTGACCTCGGGTGAATTGGGGGTGGCAGTATTTGGGACTGGAAATTCAAAGCAACCATGTAGAGCAAGTGAACAGAAGGGGCGCGATGTGGGTGATCAAAGAGAAAAACTGGCTGTCATAAACCAGTAACAAATATTCTGAGAAGTGATCCTGCAGAGACTGTGTAGAGAATATTCACCCAAGGGATTTCCATTTTACCCAGTTTTTTTCTCAACTGTATCATCCCTTACACAGCACAGACTGATGGTAACAGCTAATATGATATTAGTAAAATATGTACCAGATTCTGTATTTAATGCTAGTAACCGCGATTCAGTTTGAATCATGCTTAGAAAGGTATTTCCATGACTAGTTGCATTAGACTGTACATGGGGCTGTGCATTCCAGATGGTAGTAATGTAAATGGGATAGTGCAGGCATGTCCAAAGTCCGTTTCGGGGGCTTAATCTGGCCCGCAGGTCGGTTTAATCCGGCCCCTGTGGCAGTTTATTTCCTGGCCCTCTTTGAAAAAAGTTTGGACACCACTGGGATAGTGGATAGATGGCACTTGGACTCAGATGTACAGTGTGATGCATATTTGAGCACACATCAGATTTACAGCATCTGATGCACAGCAGATGATAACCCCGCAGAGGCCTGCTTACATGAGCCGATCGCCTGATGCTGGATGAGGGCATTTGTTTTAGCTGGAATTAGATAAGCATTATTTGTGCATGCCTTCAAATATGTGCTTCCATTTTTCGTGGCAATAAAGAACAAAAGAAGGCCAGATGCGACCTGCTAGCTTCTGTTTCTTCCTCATGTTGCCATAACCGAAATAAGCATTCCGAAAACCACAAACACGGTCTGCAAAGAGCAGAGGACGGGACATTGTGCAGAGGAGCTATTAACAAGATAGGTGGTCCAAAGAGTATAAACAAGTACAAATCATGCTAGGTCACGCATAGCGAAGAGCATCTGGAACTTGGAAATGTTAGCTCTTTCTCTTTCCTAACATTTTTAGACAAGTTTCTCCAAAGAGTCTCACGCACCTGCCAGTCATTTGGCCGGACTTTGATTACTGCTAACAGTGAGTAGGAACAGAATAGCCTGTGTTTCATCTCTCACCAGAAAACCACTAGGCTCTAGGGGGAGAGAGAAACATGTGGGGAGGGATCCAGCAAGAGTATGTTATAGGTACACAGCTAAAGGGCTTTCATAGATTTCTGTTTTGGCAGCAGCCCTTCCTCTCCTACCCTTCAATTCACAAAGAGAGAGAGGAGTCAAAATGAATTTGGAGGTTGGGAAGAATGGCTGTGGAATAAATGATGGGCCACATCCAACTAAGTCACTGCAGGAGCAGAACAGAACTTATGCAATGAAGCTGCCCCCCCCATGCCCCCACGCCCCCAAATCTGCTCTGTGTTTCTTCCGCACATCCCTCTGGAGTTTTGTATAAAGTAGGGATGTGCAGGGAGAGGAGATGGAGAGGAAGTTCTGTTGCACCATGACTTTGTTGGATTCAACCCTTTATATATTTACTTACCTATATACTACCTTCTACATAACAACCTGAGGCATAGCACAACAAAAATAAAACAAGAAGTTGTTGTTGTTATTTAGTCGTGTCCGACTCTTCGTGACCCCATGGACCAGAGCATGCCAGGCACTTCTGTCTTCCACTGCCTTCCGCAGTTTGGTCAAACTCATGCTGGTAGCTTCGAGAACACTGTCCAACCATCTCGTCCTCTGTCGTCCCCTTCTCCTTGTGCCCTCCATCTTTCCCAACATCAGGGTCTTTTCCAGGGAGTCTTCTCTGCTCATGAGGTGGCCAAAGTATTGGAGTCTCAGCTTCAGGACCTGGCCTTCCAGTGAGCACTCAGGGCTGATTTCCTTAAGAATGGATCGGTTTGATCTTCTTGCAGTCCATGGGACTCTCAAGTCTCCTCCAGCACCATAATTCAAAAGCATCAATTCTTCGGCAATCAGCCTTCTTTATGGTCCAGCTCTCACTTCCATACATTACTATTGGTAACGTACAAGAAGTTAACACAGTTTAAAACATCTAAACAGCAGTAACAACACAAGGAATAGTGACAATGCAAATCCTGAGGTGTCCATAGCAGTTCCACCCATGTGTGGCATATATACTTAATATGGGTCTTCCATCTGATATTTGATATAAACTGGTATCTATATGCCACAGACAACAAATACTGCAACTACTGGACGCTATGTCTATTCTCCTCCTACCCTTGATTTTTTAAAACTGTTCATCCAGTATGAAAGAGTAATGGCTGAAATGTAAAATACATGGTTTAATGTTCAAGTGGACTCATGTGCAGTCAGTGAAATACACACAGAGAGAGAGAGAGAGAGAGAGAGAGAGAGAGAGAGAGAGACTAAGGTTTACTCAACTATTTGAGAGATTTGGAATTGTGGGGTTTTGTTTTTGTTTTGTTTTTTAAAAAATCAGTTTGTGGTTTTTTAAAATTACGATTCTTTTCTGTTACAAATTATCAAAGAACAGTAAAACAAACAAAGCTATCCTTCCCTCGCCCTCCCCAGGAAATGAAATTACTAGATTACCGTGAAGCCAAGAACCATTAGAAAAACACAATTCCAGTTACTTATCCAAATGAATAAACAAATTATAGAATTACACTAGCCAGAAAATTTTGTAGCGTGAGGAAAGTTCCACTGCATCTTCTTTAGCTTTATACAAAATAAAGGTGTAGCAATCCATTGTAAATGTGTCCTTTTGTATCAAACCCATTGCAAGATTTAATTGGTTAGTAATTTTTCTACCCAAGTTAACTGCCATGCTTTCTTTCACCATGTGGCAATGGATGCTGCTACCAGAAATTTCCAATATCTTGCTCCCAATAGTAACTGACCAATAAGATGTCTGAAATACAGGTTTGTGTTATCTCCCAAGAAGAGGTTGAGTAAAGCCAGTTCCGAGGCTTTAATGGTGTTTTGTCTTGTTGTGGCACTTGTTATTGTTGTTGTTTAGTCATTTAGTCGTGTCCGACTCTTCGTGACCCCATGGACCAGAGCACGCCAGGCACTCCTGTCTTCCACTGCCTCCTGCAGTTTGGTCAAACTCATGCTGCTAGCTTCGAGAACACTGTCCAACCATCTCATCCTCTGTCGTCCCCTTCTCCTTGTGCCCTCCATCTTTCCCAACATCAGGGTCTTTCCCAGGGAGTCTTCTCTTCTCATGAGGTGGCCAAAGTATTGGAGCCTCAGCTTCACGATGTGTCCTTCCAGTGAGCACTCAGGGCTGATTTCCTTAAGAATGGATAGGTTTGATCTTCTTGCAGCTGTGGCACACATTTCCCCAAATACTGACTCCTAGAATGTGACCACTTTTTGCAGTTCCCTCAAAGGTGTTGGTGTGACCCTAAGGATGCACCCCCCCCCCAACAAGTTTGGAACTGATACCGGCTACTCTGGCTGGTGCTAAGTGCCACTATTGCAGAATTTTAAAAGCAATTTCCTTGGTACAGTATATTATTATATCAACTCATTAAAACTATGTAACTTCTCAACATTATTTACAAATTCAACCTGGCTGTGGGTTTTTTGCACCCACAAGCAGACTTTGAAGAAACTGACAAACACTTTTTCCGTGGGAACCAGGAACTACTATGATTTTTTGCTAGCACACAAATAACAAAAAATATTGTAGGTGCGCAAAAGGATTATTTCCTCCAAGTTCTCCATTCTCCAAATATCTAAAAGAGGCTCTACTGTGCCTCAAGACTAGCTGTTAGATATGCGCTCTGAAACTTAGAAAATTGAACATTGAGTTTCACATAGTCCTGCAGAGTTCAAATGAGCTACTGTATGGCAGGGGTGGCCCCAGGACCACATTCCTTCTGGACAACCTTCTGAGGGACACATGACAGTGAAGCAAAAGTGGGTGGAACAATTCATGTAAATGTAACCTTTGTATAGTACACTACTTTCTAGACACACACACACACAGAGGACACAGGTGGCGCTGTGGTCTATTACACACACACACACACACACACACACACACACACACACCTTTCTTTATTCTTTACTCAAGTCATTAACAGGGTTCAAGGACACATTCCATCCTGGCAAAAACACTCAGGGTAAGGTAAAGGACCCCTGGACAGTTAAGTCTAGTCAAAGGCAACTATGGGGTGCAGCACTCATCTCACTTTCAGGCTGAGGGAGCTGGCGTTTGTCCGCACACAGCTTTCCTGCTCATGTAGCCAACATGACTAAACTGCTTCTAGTGCAATGGAACACTGGGACGGAAACCAGAGTGCACAGAAATGCTGTTTAGCTTCCCACCGCAGCGGTACCTATTTATCTACTCACACTGGCATGCTTTCCAGCTGCTAGGCTAGCAGAAGCTGGGACGGAGCAACGGGAGCTCACCCCATCACACGGATTCAAACTGCCGACCTTCTGATCGGCAAGCCCAAGAGGCTCCATGGTTTAGACCACAGCGCCGTCCGCATCCCTCTACTCAGGGTACAATGTAATGTCAGTGAAAGGTGTGGCCTGGGAAGAGTTCAAAGGACCAGGCAGAGAGGCCTGGAGGGCCTCATTCGGCGCTGGGCCTGAGGCTCCCTTCCCTTGCCCTAGAAAAACGGGTCCCTCCCAAAGAGATAGCAGACCTCCAGCCTTCTGTTCTTCTGATGCACACCACAGAATAAGTTGAAAATAGGCACCAGAAAAGTGAGAACATGCATGTACTTTCTTTGCTTGCCCCATCAGGTTGTGCATTTGCTTTGTGTAGGACAGAGACTCTCGCTCAGATTATAGAGCAGCAGCAGTGACATAATCAGCATGCTATCTGCAGATGTTGCTGGCTTTTCTGAAGAATATTTTCCTTTGACCACATCTGTAAAAATCTTTCTCAAAAAGCATGAAGTCACCCTCCTCGTTCAGTCACTGGAGCACATCATATATCCCAAACCAATCTTCTATGATAACATGCTCTAAATTTAAACCTGAAGCTCAGGAATTAAATGGAGAGGCTTTTATTATTGGTCTCCATACTGTGTAATCTGGGTTCCACTGAGTACAAAGAAATATGAGCAGATAGCAGAGGCAGATGCACTAGAGGAAAGGGGCTTTTTAAAACTAAGCAGCTTTGTGTTGAAGCAGGGCCCTTTTGCTTTCAACTTTAATAAAGGACTTGGGCTTGTAATGATTTCCATCTGGGGACACTTCTGCTTTGGAAAAGGCAGTCAAGGATCTCCATCTCCAACTTAGTGAGCTGTAGGATCAGCAGAGTCCCTCTCATCAATGAAATGCTAGACCAGCTATATAAAAGTTTATCGATGTTCTGTCCACTAAAGGGTGTCACCCGGAAGAACCAAAAAGAGCTTGGCTGTTGGATCAGGTCAAAGACCCACCTAGTCTAGCATCCTGCTCCCACATGGCCAACCAGATGTCCATGGGATGCCCACAAGCAGCACCTGACTGCCACAGTGCTCTCCTCTCCCCAGTCACAATTTCCAACAACTGGTTTTCAAAGGCATACTGCCTCTGAGGGAGAACACAGCCCTCATAGCTGGTAGCCATCAACAGCCTAGTCCAGGCATAGACAAACTTGGCCTTCCAGGTGTTTTGGGACCTCAACTCCCATCATCCCTAGCTAACAGGACCAGTGGTCAGGGATGATGGGAGTTGTAGTCCCAAAACATCTGGAGGGCCGAGTTTGCCTGTGTCTGGCCTAGTCCTCTAATGATTTGTCAATTCGTAGCCAGTACTATGAGAGGGTGTTTGTACTCACAGCTGCAGCTCCTGTCAAGTGTCAGGAGTTAACATGGGTGCTCTAACAGCCCTATTCAGACATTCAGTCTGGTCATGGGAGTGATAAAGGTGTGCAGGGGGGCAACTCTGAGCATGATGGCCCTGCCCTCGATGCCTTCTGCATGCTGGACATGTCCTCACACACACACACACACACACACACACACACACACACACATATCTTTGGGTGTGTAGCACTAAGATCTGAAGATGGCTTCTGGACATGTTCAGCTGTTTCTAGATCAAACGGAGCCTTCTAACCACAACCAGCTGGACGTGGTTAACTGCCCTCTTCAGACCTTTGTGCTAAATTCTCAGATTTTGTTGGAGGAGATGGAGCCAGCCCTCCCTATGCACCCTTAGCCCATCAGTCCATCTCATCACCAGGCTAAGTGCCTGAAGAGGTTATGTATTATTTGCATATATTTTCTAAATTATGGGTAGGTTACTGTAAAAGTCATCAGAAGATGCACCATCCATTGGTCTTAATTGCAGCTGGCATCCTTTAACCCAAAGGGAGAGTTTTCCACATGTAATGCCACATGCTATGAACTTGGCTCCAAGCAGATTTAGAATAATTTCAGCTATGCGGGCTTCCACGTGACATATTTCTTCCTCTGCCAACAATGCCTTAACAAAACTGACAAGGGATGGAAAGAATTAAGAAAGCAAGAGAAGCCATTCATGTGTGCTGATTGTCTGCTTGCCCATCTCTACCACTTTCATTCTTTTAAGGGTGTTTCATTTTCTGCTCTCCTTATAATTCTCACTTATCATGTTTATTTTCATAAGATATATAAGGCCAGGGCTGTCATTTTTCTAAAAGGACCATTTGAAAATATTTTACATTATTTTAAAATGTTGCTTCCCTTATGCAGGAAGCTAGGGTCATCTTCTCTTTAACAAAGACAATGTAGTATACAGTATATCCTTTTCTTACCCCTTTCTGTAACTGGAAAGGAAGGCGAACGATATCTAGAGAACCCTGCTGGATCACCCCAGAGGTCCTTCTCATTCACGGCTCTCACGGTTACCTATAAGAAGCCCATAAGCAGGACATAAGAGCAAAAGCCTTCTCCTTGGGATTAGTTCCTTCATTTATAGTTAGCTGTAATATGAAAGGGAAATTTTATAAGGTCGTCTAGCAATGATACCGGCTAGCAAGCAAAGGTCACAACCGCCAGCACACTTACATCCATGCAACATCCTTTGGACCACAACATTTGCATTCATAATGGTGAGAAATGTGTTTTCTTCTTAATTTTATTTGTTTATTATTTATTGAATTTCTATACCGCCCTATACCCGCAGGTCTCAAGGCAGTTCACAGAAAAAAATCAAAATCTAAAACCACAAAATATGTAACCAAAAGAAAAGCAACAACAACCCAATAACCCCTCCCTTTTCAGTGAAATGTTTCTTGGTGCAGTCTCCTGTGTTATGCAGTCATGTTTTCTGAAAACCCACCTTTTCTGTAAAACCTTTGGCACAACGCCCTAGTTCCCATGCCCTGATGCAACTCAGCCTGACAGGGCCAGTGTCAATATCTGGCCGGGTGAGGCAAATGCCAGGGACCAACACCAGCTTTTTATTTTGAGGGGAGGTGATGTTCTTATGACCTGACACTGCAAAGATCTGCAGTGGACTAGGTAGCTGTGCAGCCTCCGCCACCATTATCCCCAATGATAATTGTCTGCCCTTCCCAAGTACACTAAAACCATTTTGTATTGCTCCCTGTGGAGCAGCATGGCTGGTGCTGCATTGCTCAACTGGTTTCAGAACACTGCAGCTCACTGCTTCTTACTATGAAGTCAGCAGGGAGGTCATCACAGTGCAGGTGCAGCAGCAAGAATGTCAGATTTGATTGGCTCTGCTGCTGCACCCACACTGGCTGCTCTCTCCAACCACTGGCTGCTTTCTTGTCGTAAGCAGCAGTGGTGCAGGGTGTTCAGAAGCAGGAGAGCAAGAGTCTCACCCCCAAGCCAGCCATTCCTCCCTTCCTTTTTTAAAAAAATATTTTTTATTGATTTTAACATATAAATTATAAAATGTACCACAAAACTTATCACTTATACAATCTTTTTAGACTTCCATCAGCACCTCTGATGACCCACCATTTTAACCACTTCTTATGCATTTCTTAACTTTATATTGCCTTTACATCTCTTAACAAATCATCCTTCCCCTTCTCCATTTTTGCAATACTTCCAATAATACTCCTCACAAAATTTCTTGCAGAGCTACAAACGTCGTCTGATCTTCACAAATACTTTTCAAATAGCCCATAAATTTACTTCAGTCTTCCGTGAATTTCTGGTCCCGCCGGTGTTGAATCCTTCCTGTTAGTTTATCGCCATTCCTCCCTTCCAGGGGTGTCTTACCCATATAGACCAGTGGCGCAGGGCACCAGGGCACCAGGGAAGAGGCAGAGGCTGGACGCAGCACCTCCTGGCATCAGCTTGCTGCCCTCGCCCGCCTCCGCCATGCTGCACCGAAGCAGCACTGCGCCGCGCCCAGAGCCTTTGTCTGCCGTGGCCACCCCCATCTCTCCTCCCAACACACCCCAAAATTGGGTCGGGAGAGGAGGGGTCAGGAGAACCTCCAGAACAGCATGCAAGGAGAGGAGAGTGGGGGGACAAACTGAAATGCTTGTACAAATGGAATGACTGGAAGAGCACATCATTTAATTCCACCTGATATATGTTGCAATTTTTTTGCAAAGGTTAGTTGGATCTGTGCTGTCAGTTCCACTGAGCAAGCAGTGAGAAATATGTTGTGCTATTTTTCTAGAAAAAGTGATGCTAAAATTCACCATAGAGACCTCCCTCATTTTCTAAGAATGGCAGTGGCACCTGTCTGAGAGGTGCCAGAACTGAGTTCTGGTGAGTTCTGGCTGAACAAAGTCCTGATGTTGAGGCATTATAAGCTAATCAATGTGGACACACACCAGTCACATAATGTATCAGCCAGGATGCAATCTTAAAACTGCAATCTTACATGCACTTACTCTGGCCATACTAAGCTCAGCAGGACTTCCAAGCAAACCTGCATAGGATTAAGCTGCATAGTAAAGTTTCAGTGAAGTGAATAGGACTCTCCCCTGCGTCCAATTATATACTCAAGGCATTTGCAGCAGTAAGTCTTTATGAGACTGCTACAATATTTCAAGTCATTAAAATGAAATGTTTCCAAGGGTATCAGGGCAACTGAAAGGCACATTTTGTTTTGAAACACTAATGTTGCAAAACGTTAGGCCCATCCCAAGTTGTTCCTAGTTATAAATGAGGGTATTACTTAGAAAGGCGGGGCTGGGGACCTGGGGAAACCTGGTTGTGATAAAGAAACATTTTCTTACACTGATAAATCACTATTTTTGCATTAGCTAATACTTGGAAAGTAGTTTTAGAGTTCAGCCATCAGTGTAGTTTAATGTTACTGCAATAGATTTAAGAATCAATTACCTGTCACGAGGTCAGAAAAACTTGTAGCCCTGCAGCTGGGATGTTTAGGACAGTGAATACAGCTTGTGAGCCAGCTGTGCACATAACATTGTTTAGATGTCCACCTAAGGGTTTTTGGGCGCAGGTGAAAATGTAAAATGTGAATGTGATCAAACAAACAGGGACATTATACAGTATCAAACAGTGACGCTTATCAGAAAATCATGCTGGGCAGCTCCAAGCTGAGTGTACTTTGAAATCATAGCAACTCCTGTACTTCAAAAATAAATGGATTATATATATACTGCTTTGAAGCAGTAGAAAACACTGATTCTCATAAAAAAGGGATACTCCCTTGCCTACTGCAGCCCTTTGTGCCTTGTCCCATACAGTTCTGGAGGAACCAACCCATAGAAGCAACTTTGAAGAGGGTGGCATGGTGGGTAAGGGGGAAATCAATGACACACTGCAAAGCCAGTGTGTGTATGGACAAATACTTTGAACCAAAAGAAAAAAATATTGGGCTAGTCTTGTAACAGAAGCGTTGTGTAGCCATCTTAGTTGGACTATAGATTGAGGGTGATCCCCCCCCATGTGGATATCTCTCACATCAGTATATTATGATGGGGAAAGTGTTGGATTTCATATGGAACATACATTAAAACACATGAGGCCAGCTCAGAGCCGATAGCTGGGTGCTGTGAGAAATAGCCTTCTGCTCATGTGCTCCTCATTTCTCTTCTTCTTCCCCTTGTATACTCAGTTTGTTACTTCCTCTGCTGTTGTTATGTCTGAAGCTATGCCAGTCCTACAAACCAGGACTGCTAACTAGCTTTGCATGGCTTGCAATCATACTTTGGAGGAAAATTACAAGCCTAGGTTGCTGCTATGGAGGCAATGGAAAAATTGTGCTTTGTACTAAATCAGAAGTAGCTAGAAGTATGCCAAAGGAGGGGGCTGAGAGAATGTGTGATCGCAACATTTGCTCCCATAATGCAGCCTTTGCCTGCCAGGTGCCTTCCAGATGTTTTGTACTCCGACTTCCATCAGCCAGCATGGGCGTTGTGGTTCAAAATATCTGTAAGGTGCTAGGTTGGTGAAGGCTGCCATAGCGCTGAAGCCTGGCTTGGCAATGCAGCTGAACTGAGCCACAGCCACTTTGAGGTGGCCAATCCCAGTTTCCACATACCAGCTGTAAATCTGGATTAAATGAGAAGACAGGCTGGCATTTTGATTGCAATAACATCATGCGGACACTGCGGGGGGGGGGACCTGTGTGCATGAGAATAAACACCCATCTGGAAGCATTCTCAATATTGTAAGGTTCAACACTGATTTAAACTCCTTACCCAAAGTAGTAAAATATTAACAAGCAAGTCTTTATTATATTGTTGCAATCCACTGCCCATCTCTGAGCAGTGAGAGAATCCAGAGGTTCCCGTGTCCTTGGAATGAGCTCAACGGAGACTGTGATGTCCTTAGGATATATGGCTTTATTTACACTTATATACAAACTGTGCAAGTGAGAGTTTCCAAGGCATGCTCTGGTTCATGGGGTCACGGAGAGTCGAAAACGACTAAGACAACTAAACAACAACAACAAACTGTGCATAGGATGGAGGGGCTCATAGCATTAACACCTCACCAGATCTTGCTTCCTCACTCTGTTGCCAGCAAGCCCCAAATTCCAGCACAAAGCAGCACAGAACTAACCATATCTCTCCATCCTCAGCTTCACAGTGTCTCCTCCTCTCCTCCATTTACACAGCAATACTTTCCAGCCCCGCCTGTTGCTTCTTTGTCACCTAGATGCTACAAACTGAAACCCAACCTACCCCCTTCCGAGTGAGGCAGAGCACTAAAAGGGACCATCTGGTCTTCATCTACAAAGGAACCTGCTTGGCCAATTCCTTAACCTCCCCCAAACTCATAATACGATCAAAGAACTTCAAGACATTTTCCACATATGTATGTATTACAAAAAATAGAATTAGTTTTTTATGTATTACAAAAAATAGAATTAGTTTTGTGGAAAGTTCTTTACTTTCTGATGACATGGAACATCAGGAAGGGTGTGTCCACCATCCCAAAATACACCGTCCAACCAGTTTTGGTAGAGGCTATTGGAGTGTGGTTTTAATTTAGCTGGCTGTTTATACCACTGCTGAGCCCAGCTCACCTGGAGTCAATTGTCACCATTTCAAAACACAACAAAATGGAAGAAATGTGTACTAAAACACCCTTCCCCTGTAAAGGCTGTAACCATGGTACAGAATGGCCCAAGTTAAAACTCCAGCTGTGTAAACTGTTTTAATTCTGGACGAAACTTAATTATAGCAAGAGCCGAAATCTGATCCTCTGCCCTTCACCATATATATTCCTCCTTTTTAAAGGTTTAGATTCCCTGATTCTGATTTCTTGAACTGGGCAGGTCTGCAATATAAATAGATTAAAGGCTTTCTAAAAAGAGGGGGTGGGTTGCATTTTGCTATCGTGCGAAGACGCACAGAGGCGCACACAGTACATTTTATGTTTTCTATCCCGACTCTGTGCTTTCCCTGGTCAATTCTGTAAGCCAGCGAATTACCTGTTCCATCGTGGAAGGTTCTCTCTCCAGGGCTTTTCTAATGCTGAATCTATAAACCCTGAAATATCCCTTTCCAAATCTCTTTCCCAGGAGTAAACATTTGTATATCAGCCCAAGACCAAGATGACATAATGTGACTGGACGGATTTCAAGGACTTCCACTTTGAAATTACTGCATGGATCTGTGTGCCTGAAGCACCGTTGCAGAAAGACAGCAATCCATTTCCCCACCTGGAATATGAACAGACCTTATAACTTTGTAGTACAAGTGCTTTGTATTTCAGAGCTATATTGCGTATTGGAAGCCTTTCAAAACCGAGATGTTGATGTATTGTACTAATTGAGCTGCCAGGGGAGTGGGGATCGACGGAGTAAACACTTCTTAATTGTTTACATTTTCCCATTAAAAGTTTCCTGCATAACAAAGCCCGGAGCTCAATGTCCATCCCTTTCTGATTTCTTTTCTTAAAAATTGTTTTAACTTTTTCTGTTGTTGGATGCCTGCCACATCGGGGCACGAACAAGACTGAGACTGTTTCATTCCTATTCAAATAAACTGCTGGTGCCATCCTTAGTTGACAGATGATAAAGAAAGATAAGTGGGAGAATGGCTCTATGCTAAAATAATGCAAAATGATCCCTCTTGCTGTTTTATTTTAAAAGAATATCAGGGCTAAAAATAAAAAAGGGACACAATTGTTATGGAATACGATACGATACGATATCTTTATTGTCATTGTCCCTTGCGGAACAATGAAATTGAAATTGAATACTGACAAAGCCTTCCTGCATATCTTTTCAGTAGACATAACAAAGATTGTCTTTGCTCATAACCATTTAGAGAACTGTTATGTACTGAAGTTCTCACCCTGGGCCAGCAGGGAGATACTGTAGATAGTTTTCACTCAGGTCCACACATGCAAATAAGGGATTGAAAGTGATGTTGAGTGATTGGATAGTTACAGAAAGTGGTTACTGTTGCATTCTAGTGGAGCTCTATATAAGCAGGCTGGCTGAACCCTTCAGTTCAGTTCAGTTCTGGCCTGTGAATAAACAAGAGCTGTTTGAAGAATCGCTGTGTCGTCTGATATGTTCACCCACAACTTAACAAGATCTACCTAAAAAAAGGAATTCCTCTTCAGGTATGGATGGGAAGCTGGCTTACCTCTTTCCTGCCCTGCTGTGGGAATAACTTTGCTAGGTAGGCATTATTAGGATGTCTGATGATCTTTTCAGAGGCCAAGAAGCTGATGGGTACTGAAAGGGAGCTCCTTTGAAGTCTGTTTGCAGTATGGACTCAAACCATGCCAGCAAATGGACCATCTTTCCATTCTTCAGCCTTCTTTAGGTGTTCAAACAAATATGAGCAGGGCTGGTGTAACAAGTGTAGGGTGTGTGCTGTGTTCCCGCTCTACCCAAGTATTCCACAAAAAGCAAGAAGATCTGAACTTGAAGTGGGATTCTCAGATGAGAGAAGGAACTTTGTGTTTTCAGGATTTGCAGTTGTGCAGAGTAATCCAAGTTTGTCCAAACACAAGTAAGAGTCCGTCTTCAGACCTTCCTAGTCATTGAGCAACAAACTCTGACATGCTGCCTTGCTGCCCTCTTCACTTTTCTCAGCAATTGCCTGAAGAGGGCTTGTGTTGAATCCCTTTTTATGGGGTATCTACATGACTTGGTGGGGGTCATGAAAACTCCCAGAAAAAGAGCATGGGGAGGAGGATCAGTCCATCTGACAAGCCAAAATGCTTGTGCACACTGAACATGCAACATAGTGTGACATTGAATGCCAATCTGTGTGCCCAGAGAGTATGATGATAGGGGATTTCTGGCTGATAGGTCTTTTATAAGCCAACATATCTCAGCTGTAAGGTTTTCTTTTTTAAAATAATAATAATAAACCCTGACTCAAGATATTTATCAGAGAAGACTAAGGTAAGAACTGCAGACAGGTAAGGCTCTCAGTAACCTACATATCATACTATGCCATGTTTGTATCAACAAGGCAAGTAGTATTCTAGAGTGTCTGAGATGCAGCATAAAAGCATAAAACCCCATTTTGTTACTGCTGAGCTATGCCTTGAAATCAGATTCAAAAGGCCATGAAAATACGTTCACTGTGATGAAATTCATGGTGCTGCAATTTCAGTGAGACAGACAATGTTTCTCTAAATGGGTGCAAGCCTTTCCAGGGCCTCATTAGTTTAGTCTGCAAATCTATGGCTGTAACAGAAGTTCAGGGACACAAAAAATTAAACCTGAGCATTTCGTGAATCTCAAAGTATTCCTCCTCTTGTTAGATAAATAAATAAATATAAATAATTTATTATTTATACCCCGCCCATCTGGCTGAGTTCCCATGGCCTATAAGTAGAGACAGGTGCAATATCTTTTCTTGGGAAGAAAAGCACTGTTTGGGGAACAGTCAGGTAGTGTGCAGACATCACCAAAGCTTCGGAATGCAAGCAGCAGGGAGGCATGAGATCTTTATTGGGATGACTCTGAGTTTGTTTTGTTGGAACCCCCCTTTCCTTTTCAAAAGCTAAGGGCGGCAGCGATTTGCTCCTAGGCACTCTCCCATCTGAGCAACTTAACAAGGTAAGCATTAGACCCAATTAGCTTCAACTGTAGTAATACATGGCATGCCTTTTAGGCTATTCTCCAAGTTCAATACCAGAGAATAGGTTTCAAAAGCTATCTTAAATCAGGCTTTGCTGTACCAGGTCCAATCTTACATCTCATAATAAGCTGTACACCAAGCATGGTTTTCCTACTATATTAGCAATGACGCAGTGTAACTCCACGGGAGTCAAGGGCAGGTTTTCCTGGATCTGCCATTGAAGCAGGATTTGGCTAACTTACATAAACTTCAGCTCTGGAGGCTCAGCACCTCTGGAAGTCAGCCCAGTATGCTTTTGTCATGTTTTCATAGGCACACAATAATTCAGACATCCCAAAGAGCTCAAAGTCAGCGGGCAGGATTAAAAGTGGGAATCTAACCTCTTCTGAAAATGTAAGTCCTCGGTTACAAAAGCTGAGATCTTTTGAAAATAATTGCAAGGTCACTTGGCACTGAGATCAGATCACACACTGTGCCTCTATCCTGATAGGAACTGAGATGAAAGACATTCTGATAAGGATGGAATGAAAATGCTTAACAGCCTTTGTGATTTTATTGAACTAGACTAGTTCATCCCATTCCATTTATATTACATCATAACTATTCTTTGGGGTGGGCTATGCAGACAATGTACCAAGGTAACATGGCTTTGACTGTTCTATTCAATTAGAAATAATTGCCTCCTCAATGCAGCTGCCCAACAAACATCAAAAATCACTCTCTCTCTCTTTTGCAACAACATATTGTTAAATTTACCAAGAGGTGTGGTCACATGCATAGGCTGTAATTCTAGGTGTACTACCTTGGGAGTAAGCCCTGATAAACCTAGCTGGACTTACTTCTCAGTAAACATGGCTAGGACTGCACTAGCAGCAATCCTATCATGTTTACTCAGAAGTAAACCTTGATGTAGGTATTCACTGGCTTACTCCCAAATAATTAGTCATAGGACTGTAACCTTGGTGTCTCTTCTGCAGCTAAAGACTTGGGTTTGGGTGATTTTATGATTTGTGGGTCCCAAACTGCAGGAGGCAGTGGAAGACAGGAGTGCCTGGCATGCTCTGGTCCATGGGGTCACAAAGAGTCAGACACGACTAATTGACAACAAACAACAAACTCTAAAAAATAGGGGATGGCCCACCACCCCCTTACTAGTCAGGGCATGATGACTAGTTCCTGCTCTAGCAGCATCACATGTCACAATTTTGAAGTTACACCCTTCACTGAACACTGGATGCTTGGCAGGAGATAGGGTTGATAAACAACAAAGGCCTTTGCTTCCTTACTTTATTTTTGGCCTGGATACAAATCAGTTCCATCTCCCCTATGCAGATCCCCTCTCTGCAGGCTCAGCCTTGGTGTTAGGGTCACAACATAGGGCGAGCATTGGGTGATGGGAGTACCGTGGCTTCAGCGATATCAGGGGGTCATGCCTTTTGTGCAACTATACTCCAGTCAACACTCCAAACGGCTTGCTGAGCAAAGAATTCTATTTTCTCAGCAGAAATATATAGCTGTTTGCTGAGGAAATGAGATATTCCTAGAACAAAAAATTCTGCCATGAATGGAAGATGTTTTGATCCTGTGCAATAAATGGACTTTTGTTGCTGGGCCAAGTGGTGGGAGCGTCCTGCGTTTCACTTTCAGTCTCACATGAAATAGGTTTCCTGAAATCAGATGTTTGCGGTTTTCAAATTACTCCAACGGTGAAAGCCTATGCATACGTACTCCGAAGTAAGTCCCACTGTATTCAATAGAGCTTACTTCCAGGATCATGGGTTTGTGATTGCAGCCTAAAGTGAACATTTCAATTGAGAGAGTCTTAGCCTGGGGCAAATAAAGTTACGGGGGTATACGTTTTAGTCATGATCCAAGGAACAAACTATGTCCTGTGTTCTATAGTCCTGTGTGTAATTTTCTACTGATTTCTTTAAAGAAGAGGCTATGATTGAGGGGTGGCATGAAGAGATAGTGGCATACCAAATGGGTTTCATGGCAGGAAGTTGAACCTGGGTTTCCTCAGGTCTACAGGCCAAACTAGATGTTACACAAGAGATAAGCTGAACAGGCTTCTGATTTTTTTGTTTTAAATGTGAAGCAGTCATGGGAGTATATCAGTTTGACTGGAGGAAGGGCTGGAAACTTGCAAATGTCCAGATCAGAGCAGCCCAACTTTTCATACCAAGTGGGCTGCAAGAGTCTTTCAACATGGAACCCGCAGGCTGCACACTGTGTTATTACATTGGGGGGGGGAGTGAGGCCAAAATTTCTCTCTCACACACACACAAGCCCTCACACTGCCTTCCAAAATCCAGCTAAGTGAGGTGCTGGGCTTTGGGAATGAGGCACAAGGCTCTGGCTTGGTCCTAAAGCCCTCCCACCACCTTCCTAAAGCTGGGAATGTGCTAACTAGGAGGATGGAGGACTCCAGGTCCCTGTCAAAGCCTTCACGCTTCCTCCCAAAGCCCAGCGCCTCACTTATCCAGCTTGGAAAGGCAGCGCCAACAGCCACCAAAAAGGTCCTTGAGGGCTACATGTGGCCCTCAGGCCATGTATTGGACTACCCTGCTCCAGATATTGCTGGACTACAGTTCCCATCATCCCTCACCACTGACTATGCTGGTTGT